AAGGTTTTAAAAATGCACTGGTTGGGCTGGGGATGTGGCTCAAGCGGTAACGCGCTCGCCTGGCATGCGCGGGGCGCTGGGTTCGATCCTCAGCACCACATAAAAATAAACTAAAGATGTTGTGTCCATTGAAAACTGAAAAATAAATATTAAAAAATTCTCTCTCTCTCTCTTAAAAAAAATGCACTGGCCTTTACTGGAAAACGAGGCAGCAGGGATGACCACAAATAAGAACTTCTGGGGCAGTTGAGGGTTAAAGGATTCTTTCAGTTGATGGGGTTTCTCTCTAGACACAGAGAGACTTTTCTGCCTCTCTCCTTCCACCTTTTCTTCTTTCAAATTACCTTTGTTCTGCCAGGCATAGTGGTGCATACCTCTAATCCCAGCAGCTCAGGAGGCTGAGGCAGGAGGATCACAAGTTCAAAGCCAGCCTCAGCACAGTGAGGTGCTAAGCAAATCAGTGAGACCCTGTCTCTAAATAAAAATACAAAATAGGGCTGGGGATGTGGCTCAGTGGTTGAGTGCCCCATTTGTGAGTGCCCCTGAGTCCAATCCCTGGTATCCCACCGCCACACAAAATTACTTTTGTCCTAAGTGATCAGTGATTAATATCCAATTTGAAACTTTGGAAAATTCAAAATTCAAGAAGAGTATGAAAAGATGGTGATAAGCATCCTCCTTGATCCCACCACAGAGGCCTGAGCTCCTTCTTTATCTGAACACACCAGGCAGGGTGTGGTCCAGTCCCTATTTCAACTGCCCCCATTTTTTTTCTGCCAAACAGCAGCAGTACAGCCATGAAGGCCTCCTCTTCCGTGTTGGGGATCTTACTCATGGATTGGTGAGTTTGTGTTCTGACCCTGAGCCTTAAGCTTGCTACAAATGCTGTGCTGTCCTTCTGGGAGCTGGCCTATGGCACTGGGGCCTGGGTTTTCAGAGGCTGGCAGTGCCAAGGGTGGTTGTGCTTGTGACAGTGGTGGGCAGCTGGAGATGTCATCTTGTGGTGTCTTTCTTCTTTGGGCTTAGGGTGCCATGTTCTGTTGGTCTGGAGACCCACAGCCAGTGAAGTGGCAGGAGACAGACACCCACCACTCCTTGGGATGCACAGAGCTGAAGCAGGTTTTAGCAAAAAGGCAGCTTGGGCGTCTCTTATTTCCCCCCATAGACCTCCTGTTCTTTTTTACAGCCATAAGAAGCAATCTGTAGAAATGTGATTTCATACCTCAGTGGGGACACATACTTAGTCTTGTGAGATAGGGAAGAAAACGCTCTGTGACGGGAAGCATATTTCCTACCCACCCCCACTTCCCTACTATCAGGGTGAATCCCAAGGAGGATCTTTCTGAAGGGGGGTCAGTGTGAGGACTGTGAACTGGTGAGTCCGAGAGGGAGTTCTAGGGCTCCCGTGTGCAGAGTGGAGGGCCCTGAATGGGGCAGGTGCTGGAGAGAAGAGGCAAGAGGGCCAGAGGCGGGCATGAGGCCAGGAGGATTGCAGTGCATCTGTGTGGTATGTGAGGTTACCTTCCTGTCCAGCATCTCACTGAGTCAGACTTGTTAGTTGCAAGCAGTTGCTGGGATACTGCTTCAAAACAGAAGAGCATCATGGCTGGAGGGGCCCAGCCATTGGGCTCTATATCAGAAGAGCACTGTGCTTGGGAGGAAGTGATTTAGACCCTAGGGCACTTGCCACGCATACCTGTTAATACCTGCACCTTACCCTGAAACCGGTGGCTGAGTGTTCTTCCCCCCACTCTGTACTGCAGGCGCGCCCCTCAGGCCTTCCTCACTTTGAGGACCCCAGTGCTGGGCACTGCTGCTTTGTTAAGCTGGCCTAACTTCCCAAAGTCCCACGAGTTGCATTTGTTTGAGTTCTACTAATATTTATTCAGCACCCATCTCGCACCAGGCCCTGTGACAACACAACATGGGGGTCAGAAAAATGCTTGTGACACAGGCCCTGCCTGCTTGGAGCTCAGGGTAATAGATATTTGCTGTCCACTTGCAAGTGGAATGGAAGAGGTAACAGTAATGTGACAGCCTGAGGGAGGCAGGTGTCGGGGCAGGCTCCGGGAGACAGGACACCAGAGCCTAGTCAAAGGAGGGGGGCAGACAAAAGGGTGCCCCTGGCAGACACCAGTGCTGACAAAGAATCTGTCTGGTACCCCAGGGTCCTGTGAATCAGCCCTGGAGTGGGACAGGCAGAGAGCAGGAGGCAGATCAGAGATGATAACTCATCCTGCAGGTGGCCATCCTTAAGGAGATGGGGTGGAGGTAGGAGTAGACAGAGAGGTAAAAGTGTAGCTCCCTGGTTGGGGGTCAATGAGTTTAAATTTTTAACATGGACTATACATTTGATTGGAAAATGAAATTCAGAATTAAAATTTTATATTTAGAAAAGGTGAAAAGAATAGCTGTCATCTTAAAAATAGAATCCGACAAAGTTTTGGCTGGAGGTTCAAGAATTTAAGGAAGGGGTTGGTGGTTACAAGAATATTGCCCCTGGTGAAGGGGGTGGGGTTTTAGCAGGGCAGTGGCAAGTGTGGACCAGATTTGCAATTTTAGACCAGTGATTCTGGCAACTGATTGGATGTTGGACAGGAAAGAGGAAAGACCATGGGCCAGGGACCATTGAAAGAATGGAGAGATGGAGGTACCAGGTCTCTTTCTCTTCCCTTTCCCTCATCAAACTTTCTGATCTGGTGCCTGCCCTGGCCCACCTCAGCCTGACTCTGCAGTCGGATTTGACAGTTTTTGCCGCAGTCTGGCTGGGCACAAAATCACGATCCACTCAAGCAGGAACAAACTTTATTTTTTGAAACTGCCGCCAATGTTCTGTACGCCCCCGGGAAGATCCGATCCACACACGAGGCGTTCTCCCGGAACCGCCAGAGACAAGTTCCTGCCCCGGAACTCCCTCCTACTGTACTTCCACAACCAGTGGGAACTCTCCAGGAGTCCCCATAGCAGGCTGAGGTGAACAGCAGGAGTCCAATATCCATATGAATGCAAATCTTAACATAATCATATCATCTCAATGGCTAGCTGGCGTCACCTTTCAACCAAAAATGCCATGCATCATATACTTGGCTCTTAGCAAGTTTTGTTGCCACAGATTAATGGTTTGCAGATGATGCATTTGCTTCCAGAACCTCTCAGGGCCATCTTCTTTTTAATCAGGATAACAGACTAACCCAAAGAATGGGGCTCATATAGAGTTGAACATCAGTGGAGACTGGGATGGGAATTATTTTGTTCATCTGGGGGACAGATGTCTGCCTTCTTATATGAGTGGTACACATTACTTCTGGGGAAAAGGGTTAATTCTGTTTTTTTGCACATGAGATAGAGCTCAGACTCTGACAGTTCAAATCTTAGCCAGTTGTAGCCATAGGACAGCCTCAGACCTCTGTGCCAGGGGCTACTGGGAAATGGGGGAGCTGATACTTGGGGTAAGACAACTTGCCTGGATTGGTCTTTAGAGAGGGCAGTGGGAGTGTGCCAGAACCCCAGGCTGATTTGTCCTGGAAGGCAGGGCTCCCATCTTGGTGGGCACTGGAAAGATGTAGCATCAAGGGGTTGTGACTCTGTTCTAGATAGAAATAAAACCACTGGAAGGAGGACACCAGCTGGCATTGGGCATACTGAGCTACAAGCCTCGATTTTGAAAGCAACCACCAGTGCCCTAACTAGAAGGTGGACATTTGGACTGCTTTTAGGGACCTCCAGGCACTGAAACACTGAGCCCTAGGACCCCTTGGTTGAGTTGAGAAGCAGACTGTACCTCAGTGGCATGCCACTGTCCTGGACTCCCACAGACAGGTCATACTCCTGGGTCCACCTCCTTGACTCTCATTGGTGAGACACACCTTTCTGAATGGTTATATTTAGGACAGCATCAGGTTAAGGGATGCAGCTGAACTGAGCCAGAGCCATGGGCAAGGGGTTGAGGGGGCAGTCAGGGATGCTGCCAGCCTTGGGTGAGACCATCCCAGAGGTCTTAATAGGGCTCTCACAGGAAAATGGAAAACTATCACTTGTGGGTTGTTTTGTTTTTGTAGTACTGGGGATTCAACCCAGGGCGCTGGACCACTGGACCTCATCCCCAGCTCTTTTTTATTTTGAGACAGGGTCTCACTAAGTTGCTCAGGCTGGACTTGAACTTTGTGATCCTCCTGCCTTAGCCTCCCAAGTAGTTGGGAGTACAAGGCCATGCACGTGTGGGTTTTAAAAAAATATATTTTGGTCTGGAGATATAGGTCAGTTGGTAGAGTGCTTGTCTTGCATGCACAAAGCCCTGGGTTCAATCCCCAGCACCACATACACACACACACACACAAAAGTGTGTGTGTGTGTGTGTGTATGATTAATCTTTTGAAGAACTCAATGCCCAGGATTTTTGGAGTGGCAGCTTGCCCATTGTTGTTAGATATTAACAACTTTACATTCCTCTTTTAGGAGTGCTTTAGGACCTGTTATCCAGGTATTAGTTCTTCTCCTGAAATTCTGGGTGAAGTTGTTTTGAATCCACCATTTCATGGCCTGTATGGGTCTCAGGCTCTCTCACTTTCCTGGGGTGTAATATTTTTCAGGATATTTCTACCTCTTGGACTACTTTGGAAAATCACTCACACTACCATCTGTTAGTGAGGTGTTGTGGGGGTCTCAGGAAGGGGTCTTATCCCTTCCAGCCTGGGTGTCTGCCAACCCCTGGGCTCCTTGCAGGAGCCCCCACATTGCGCTCCCTGACCATTTGGAGCAATCTCCTTGTTCTGAGACCTCTCCAGCCGGCACCCAGCAAAGGGTTTTGCCAGTTCCCCTCTTTATAATTTAATCCCAGTTGTAAAAATACAAATGTTTTCTCTTTATAGATGTAATTTGCTTTTAAAATGAAATGAATTTCAAGTTCATTTTGAAGAGTTTCTCAACAGTCCATAAAATAAATTGGGTTGTGTCATGGTGGTAAGATGAGACACTGATGTTTGCTGTATTTGTGTTTCCAGTTTCCACCTGGATGCCTGAGGCTGTGTAGATGTGGCTGGCACCCCGGAGAGTGGAGCAGGGGGTGAAGACCCAGCACTGAGAGGAGAGAGCCTTGGATAGGCTTGGGCCAGCTTCCCAGTAAGTAGCTGGTGGCTATTACAGGTGATGCCACTTTACACTTGGGTCCATAGAATGAGCACAAGCTTCCAGACACTCAGGTTGTTGCCCTGAACTCCCCCCCTCCCCCCGGCCATCTTACCCAAGAACTACTATAGAATCTGTAGGACCTTAAAGGTTGCTAGTTGCTAGCCCCACCCCCACCCCCACCCCCACCTCATCTTGAGCAAGGGCAGGAGACCCTCTGCAGCACCTGGACTCGAGGAGAGAGAGCACCTGACGAGGCAGCTGTCCTGTGTTCCAATATTGAGCTGCTCCTGTGGTTAGAAAGTTCTCTCTGCCACATCTGTCTATCTGTAACAACTCTGGCTTCCTAATTTAGGCCCCTGAGACTCAAGGAAATCAGCCAATTCCCTCTCCTACAGGGTGGCGCAACAGATGTTTGGGGACAATATGATAGAGTGGAGAATGAGGATCTGGGGTCAAAGATAGTCCTAACTGAATCCAGGACTTCTGTGACTCATTTTCTTGGGACAACAATATGTACCTCATTGAGTCGTCCTGGGGACTAGATTAAATCATGAATAGGGAGCTGCCTGGTGCTGTTATGTCACCAACTGATTCAACTCAATTCAGATTCAACTCAATTATGTTGAAGGATTATATGTCTCAGTTAAAAGGCCACAGATCAACTACCATAAGTTAATGGACGAGGTCACCAACAAGACTGTCCCCAGGTCAGACACCAGCCACAAGTGGGATCACCAGGCCACCTGCACTTCTGACTGACTTGGTTATAAGTTTGGGGGTTCCCATGACCCTTCTTCAGGTTCAGTGATTTACTAGAGTGACTCTGAGAACCTGAAGTGCTGTACTTCTCATTGTAGTTCTGTCATAAGAGCTATGACAAGAACAGCAAATGGAAGAGACACATGGGCCTGGATGGAGGTGGGACACACGGATCTCTCGTGCTCTCTCCATGTGGAATCTGGGCACAGCTCTCTCCCAGAACATCAGTGTGTTTACCCAACTAGGAAACTCCCCCAAGCCTCAGGGTCCAGAGATCTCTAGTTTTTTAACCAGAGGCCTTCATTACAGAAGCATGGTTGATGGACTCATTTGCCCTTTAATGGAACTGAGCTCCAGCCCTCTCCCTCCTGGGAGCGTGTGAGGTGGAGTGGAAGCTCCAACCCTCTAATCATGAGCTTGGTCTTTCCAGAGTAGTCAGACCTCCCTTGAAACTATCTGAGGGCCCCGGGTGAGTCACCTTATTAGCATAAACTCAGGTTTGAGTGAAAAGTGGTTATTATGAATAGTAAAAGATATTTCTGCTATCTCTTGGACATTTAAAGAATTCCAAGGGTTTTGAGGTTCTGTGCCAGGACCTGGGGACAAAGACCAGATGCTTTCTTTCTTCCATCACACTTGGCCCCACAAACACTGGCCTCTGCTTATCTTCAGCATCCAGCTTGTGAGCTCCTCTTCCTTGTGAGCTTCAGGTTGACATGTTCCCATTGTCTGATCAGAAAACTAGATATTCTCATTGATCTTTTCCTGGATGTTTGTTCTTCCTTTTTGTTAACATAGCTTAAGACTGGATTGGTTCTTTGTGCTAAAACCACATAATTATAGTTATTGAGTGTGCACCTGTTTAGAGTTGAATCACAAGCCACTTATTACTCAAGTTCTTAAAGCTAAGATGATTCTTGCCCCTAAGCGACACCAAATTAGTGCCAAGAGTTAATAACAATTGCTACAGACCAAGCCATTAACTCTGCTGAGCTCTACAACAATCTTTTGGGGGCCATTATTACAATCCCCATTTTATATATTGGGAAACCGAGGCACATAACAGGTTAACTAGCCTAAGATCACACAGGTAATAAGTGGCACAGCTGAGATTTGAACCCAGAGAGTTCTTGTTCCACAGTCTATGCCTTTAACCACTGAGCAGCATGCACACAATTTTTATGACCTTCCCAGCATTGTGGGAGGGGAAGAGGGAGCACAAAAGGATGCCTCTGGTTCACAAAGCCAAAGGGTCTGTCCAGCTGGCTGTTGGCATGGCGATGGAATCAGGGCATCCACATCCTATGCCACTCCCATGGGCCCACCTCTGGAACAGCCCTGTAGGGCTGAGCTCCAAGAAGGGAAGGTGGCCAGGACATGTTGGTGTGGGCTCCTCTCCCTTAGCCCCATACTTATTAGTTCCTCATGCTTCAGAGAGGGGGGAACTGCCTCATGGAGCTGTTCCTGGAAAGGGGGTAGGATTCACCTTTCCTCTGGGTGGAAAGATTGAGCTAGGAACATTGAGTACAGACCGAGCTGGCTCAAAACATTCCAGTCCCGGAGAAGCTGTGGGTTCAGGTGGCTCTGGAGCTGGTGGGCCTGTAGGCCTAGGGAACACAGGGAGCTCGCGACTCCATGCTCATCCAGTGCACTCACTGGGGAGTTGCTTGTTACTTAAAATAAATAAATAAATAAATAAGTAAATTCCAAGATTCAGAGCTTTGGAAGTGACAAAGAGAATTATTTGCCATGATGAGTCACTAAGCTGAGAGGTGTTAGAGTCAAGCTGGGTGATGCCTGCGGAGGAATTCTGGTCTGTAGCGCTGCCTGCCCAGGACAATCTAGTGGTGACTGCACATCTCCATGGCTCCAGTGCAGTCCTATCATGTTTGACCTTGCAGCCCTTTCTTACCCCAAGCTCCAAGCTGGGTGGGAGCCTGATGGAGGTAGAGTATTCTACTTTTGCTACTGGGGAGTAACTAAAGGGACACTTTACCACTGAGCTACATCCCCAGTCCTATTTATTTTTTGTTTCGAGACAGGGTCTCACTAAGTTGGTTAGGGCCTCACTAAGTTGCCGAGGCTGTACTTGGAACTTTTAATCCTCCTACCTCAGCCTCCTAAGCAGCTGGGATTACAGGTATGTGCTACTGTACCCTGTGAGGTGAAGTATTCTTAAGTAGCCCTTTGCATACAGAATTGACTTGAGGCCACCAGGACACTGTCAGTTGCCTATGTGTGTTCTTTGCATAGGTCATTCTCTTCACTCCCTCATTGGTGATGGACAAAATGAGACCCAGAGAGGGAGATGAGTGACAGAATTGGGGCAAGATTACAGGCCTCTGGCTTCTGGTCCAGAGCTAATTCCACCAGAAACATCTGGTTGTTCTTTCTCCATTTAGATGAGAGGAAAGAGTCTGGGTTTAAATGTTACTAAGTGCAACCCACAGTTGTTCTAGTAACCTGCCATATCTGTTTCAAAATCTCTCTTTAGACTTATTTTTTGGCTGCCATGCCCAAAAGATTCCTTCCACCACCATAGTCCCTCATCCCCACCTCTTGTCAAGTATCTCATTGACACAACTGGTAAAGGGGATGCCGGACTGGGGGGGGAGGTGAAAGGGCTTTCATGGGGAGCTGACTAATTAGTGAAAGAGATAAGATGAGAGGTCACAGTTTGATAGCCTTGCAGAAGCGTGTCATGATAACATATGGAGCACCCCTGCTGTCCGAGGCAAGGTGGTGGTTTGAGTGGCCTGGACAGCTCTGGGAAGTGACACATAGCATGAGTTTAGAAACATGAGCCTTTATACCATCTCTTGTCAGGCTTGCTAGAAATGAGCAGCCCCTGGAGTGGATGTTACATTACATGTTACAATCATTAACATAGAGCCTGTAATAATTCACCCCTGACTGCTTATTAGAATTACCCAGGGAGCTTTTAAAAATCCTGATGTCCAGGTCACACTCAAGACTAATTATATTAGAATCTCTGGCATCAGTAGTTTTTAAAGTTCCCTGGTGATTCCAACATGCAACCAAGGCTGAGAACCACAGCTCCAGGCAAGGGCTCAGGTCATCATCCATCCAGCCCTTGAGGGACTCTGCCCATGTGCTTTCCCTTGAACTTGCTACCCACCTTTCCCTAAAGGAAGCATGCAAACAACAATACCAAAACATCTGGGTGTTCTCTGTTGATGGGATGGGCTCCCACTGTTCTCCCTGGGCTTACTTATAGCATCCTCCTCCACCCACCTCTCCTGGGGACACTGCAAGGGATGAGGGTAAGAGTCCTGGCAGAAGAGGGAAGAGAGGCCACAGGCAGCTCAGGGACAACAAGAATATGCCCTACTGACCATCAGCATGGCTTTCTTTGTAATGAATGAGCTGCTGGCTGGAATGAAGGTTAAGGCTGGGACACACAGGACTGCTGAAGCAAGGCTGGAAGTCAAGTGTAGATCAGGACTTGGAGGCCAGGAGGGTTCTCCCAGAGAAGAGAACACTCCATCTCAACAAGGAGGAAGGGCAAGGGAGTGAGAGGTTACGGATGAGAACCTAGGATTTTAATCCCAGTTAATGTTCTTTGTATCTCATACATGTGTTCAAAAACTAACTATGGGTCAGTCAAGGTGCATGCCTCCTTCTGCTGAGAAGGTAATCAGGCCTTAGGCAGAAGGCTAAAGCACTGCGGTGTTAAAATGGCCTGACCCAGACTGAAGGGCCAGTAGAGCTGACACACAGGGGGAGATCAGCGTAGCCAAAGTTGCACAGCTGGGAAGTGAAGGCTAGACCTGTAGCCTTATTCCTCAGAAGGGCTCCATTATAGCAATAAAAGGCACATCCTAGTTCTTCATTCATGCATTTAAAAAAAGTGCTTGAGTAGATAAAATACAGTGGTTGTCCTCGTTCTCACTGCAGGGATCAAGCCTCAGTATGTGGGACTCTGGGCACAACATGGCTCCCTTCAAACAGTATTTATTCTTTTTTCTTGATATATACTTAGTGGGGTTTGGGAGAGAATAAATTTTCCTTTAATAAAAATCACATACCTATTTTAAACTTGGAAAGAGGATCTGATTCTGCATTAAGACACCTTTTACTAAAACAGTGATTCCTTCCCAGAAGGGTGAGCACCAAGCAAAGTGTCTCCCATCTTTTAGTGTTCTTTTGTGGATTTCCCCACCATAATTTTTAGGAGGCTTATAAAAAGGATTTACATTTATTTATTTTGTGGGTTGCTTTGGATCTAATCAGGCCTCCCACATGCTGAGCAAATGCCCTACCACTGAACTACACTCCACCCCCATAAGAGGCTTACATTTTAGATAAAATACTGAGTCCCAGTAAATAGCTTCTACTATGTGGGTATGCATTATAGAAATGTTCAAAAAGATTTGCAGGTCATGATTCCACTGGGAACTATCTACTTCAACCCCAGTGTACCCAGTTAAGCGGGTCCATGTTTTCACTTGGCTCAATGCTGCATTAGTACCCCCTATCCATCAGCACACCTGGCAGGGTCCTGCCCTCTAAGTGCAGCTTACACCCCGCCAAGACTAGCTGCATTCCACTGTGAAGCCTACCAAACCCAACCCTCTGCCTTAGGGAGTGTGTGTCTCAATCGGAACTAACATCATGCTTACCCCATCTCTTCTACAGGGTTCCAGGAGCAGATCACAGCCCCAGCAGGAAAATGAGTGAAGAGACTGTCCCCGAGGCCACCTCCCCGCCGCCCCCGCAGGGGTCGCATTACTTTGACCGCTTCTCCGAGGAAGACCCTGAGTACATGCGCCTTCGCAACCGTGCGGCAGACCTGCGCCAGGACTTCAACCTGATGGAGCAGAAGAAGCGCGTCACCATGATCCTGCAGAGTCCGGTGAGTGGAATCTGACGCAGCTGGTCAGGGAGATGGAAGAGGAGGTGGGGAGGGGAGGGGAGGGGTGGGTTGATTCTCCACGGGACCCAATAGATCAGTCACTCCTCTTCCGGTGCCCAGGTTGTAGGAAGTTAGACCCGCTAAGCAGGACAAAGTGTGTATTTGATTCTCTCCCTGATCACTGGTATTGGCCAAAGCTGAGTGTGTACGGGCAATTTGGCTCAGAAAGTGGGAGACAGACAGGAGCCCTGCCCTGTTTCCTATGACCCTTCGGAGCCTCAGTTTCCAGTTTTCCTTCCCCTCTCTACTGAGAACTGTAACCACGAACAGACAAATCCACATCACCTGGTGGCCAGCAGAGGGCACCACGGGGAAGGCACCGCCATAGAATTCATCCTTGAGGCAGGTAGTGCATGAGGACTGCTGGTCTGATGGATGACTGAAGTGGGGGCCATTGAGCTGGGCGGAAGAGCAGAGTGGAGGGAGGCAAGGAGGAGTCTGGGAAAGTAGAGCATGGGGCTCCTTAGGAAACAGCCATGAACACTGAGTGTTGGGGACTTCTGGATGGAGTGGAATCTCCAGGTGCTTGGCAAGATGGACACAGAAGCCTGTGCCCAGCTCTTCCTCAGTCCTAAGTGGGATTCAGGGAGCCAGGGCACCTATGAGGTCTGTATGCCACCACGGTGGGGGAAGAACAGTGAAAGCTCACACCCCACAGATGAGCATGGAGAGAATGGATCTGAGGTTTTAGCAGTATTGTGTGGGGAGCCTGGTGGAAGACAGCAGGTGCCAAGAGCATTGGCATGAGGAGTTCCTGGGGAGATCCCCAGAGTATGACTATAAGGGGTGGCAGAGTCAGATAGCACCAGACCTGGTTTCTGGGCCTCTGGCAGGAGATGAACTGGAGGAATTCTGCTTCTTTCTGTGATTTTGTAGAATTGCCAACCTCAAATGTTTCCTGCTGCCACCTGGTGGGCAAGATGCCAAGTTCATGGCCTTGTTGTCTGAGAAGCTAGGCTTAGGGTAGTGTATCAGAAGTGGAAGTGACCTCAGAGGTCATTAGATCCTTCAGCCCTTCCTTCTTTTCTTTTTTTTTTTAATTATTGTTATTAAGTATACGAGGACACCGAGATCCAGAAGAGCCATAGGCATAGCTAATGGAAATCAGGATCACTGCCCACAGGGCAAAGAGAACACGGAGTTCATTCCCAGCGTCTCCTTGGTGCTCCCCACAGAGCAATCCAGGGAGACTTCCGAGGGCCACTGGAATTGCCCCTGGGACCCAGGAATCCCAAGCATGATCCTTGCTTGGCTGACCTAGGGGCTGGGAGTGGGTACTTGACAGAGCTCGTCATTCAGTACCTAGGGTGGAAGGGCCCTCAGTTCTCACATGTGAGAGACTCTGAGAGGACCAGCACCTTGGGGTCTGCTTCAGTCTTTCAGGGAGGAGCTGGAAGGCCTCATCCAGGAGCAGATGAAGAAGGGGAACAACTCCTCCAACATCTGGGCCCTGCGGCAGATTGCGGACTTCATGGCCAGCACCTCCCATGCAGTTTTCCCAACATCTTCCATGAGTACGTGGGTGTCTGGGGAGCTGCCAGGAGCAGAGGAGGAGGGGTGTGATGGGGAAGAGAGGAAGGAGCATGGAGAAGAGAAGCAGCTTGGTTGCCAGGCGACAGCACCAGCGTGCGATTGCATTAGCAGGCCTGGGGGAGATCAGCAGAAGCCAGGGAGGTGCCTGGCTCTGTTTTTGATATTGCTGCAATTAAAGACTCACAGAAGAATTATCCCTGATGACAGAAATGGGAGTGGTAGAGGTAACTTCAGGGGATGAGAGGCAGCCATCGAAGCCATTGTCTCTATGCTGCATTAGACAGGCCAACTGAACCCGATAGATGAGCCAGAGGAGCCAGGGCTAAGCATGAACCCACCTTCCTGGGCTGTGTATGAAGCTCTGACCATGACCTTTAACAACAAAACATCAAATATAGGATGATGGTTGACAGTTAGGAAAATAATCAAGAAAGATTATCGTACTGTGTTCTTGAAACCTGAAAATGATGACTATCAATATTTTGATGTATATCTTTTTAACTTTTCTCTTAGCATATAGATTATGCAAGTAAAAATATAATCACATTATATATATCATTATAATAATATATTCTAACTAATTTTTTACATAATAAAATATGGTTCTGGTCAGACACAGTGGTGCACTCCTGTAATCCCACCTACTCTGGAAGCTGAGGCAGGAGGATTGCAAGTTAGAGAAGGTCAGACTGGGCAATTTGGCAAGAACCTATCTTAGAATAAAAAATTAAAAGGGCTGAGGATGTAGCTCAGTGGTAGAGTGGTAGGGTGTGTCAGTAACTCATATGTACACAATTTGGTTCTGCAATGTAATTTTTGGTGGATGTATGCTATTTAATCAATTTTCTGTTATTGGACTTTTAGATTATTTTCAGTGCTTTACTATGATAAAAAATACAGTAAACATCCTGATTTAAAAAATCTTAGAATGTATACTTGACTATTTTCTCTTAAGTTATAAAATGTAGATTTGCTGGATCAAAGCATATCCACGATTTAAGACCTTTGTGCATATTGGCAAATTTTTTACTTTCTCCATTCTGGAGAAAGAAAGATAAAATCAACTTATGTTTCCAGTGGCAATGCGACAGAGTGCTCATTTCTTCACCCTGATCTGTAATATATCTTAGCATTAATTTCATCATTCTGATTTGACAGTGATAAATAGTACTTTGCATTTTAATATGCACTTATTTTATTACTATTGAGTAGATATATTATGCATTTTAATATATATTGGATGTGATTTTCTTTTTGTAGTAAGTTGCCTATTTGCATTCTTTGCTGATATTCCTATTAGCATATTTTTTCATACAGAACCTGGAATCTTTATAATGAATTCTATTTCCCTGCTATCTACTAAACACATTGCAAGTTTTTCCAGTTTTCCTTTGCCTTTTAAATTCTTTCATGGTATTTTCCATCTCTAGAATTCTTTAATTTTCATGTGGTTGAATCCATTACTATTTTCCTTTGTGTATTCTGTTTTTGTTGGCATGCTTACAAAAACCTTCCCATGTTTTATCATCCCAGGGAACAAATGCCCTTAATTATTCGCTTGTCATTTTTTCCTCAAACATGTGTTTATTTTTTAAAATGCCTTCAGAATTATTTTGTCAAGCTCTGCCCTGTACGCCTCGTCTACCTTAAACAATTGATTTTAGAATTTTTCCTGGGATTAGATGAGTAGATTGATTTGGTAGAGAATTTATAAGTGTGTAATTTATATTAAAATATAATCTCCATGGGGGAAAATTGTATGTTTGGTTCTAGAATACTGTATTCTAGAATAGTGTCCTAGACTTAAAATAGCATTGGGCAAACAGGAGGCTCTTTAAAACTATTTGCATGAATTGATTAAATCTTTTCAGATATGAGGGGTGTTTTCTCCATATATTTAAGGTCTATTTTCATATGGTCCCTACTGATGTTAATCCCTGAAACTTTGTCACTTTAAATGAATCTTTCTGTATTCAGTTTTCTTTTTGATTATAGCTCTCACTTAAGATGGATAGATAGATAGATATGAATTATCTTGGGGTTTGTGTATAGAACATCACATATCTGCAAATAATGTATATTTTTGCCTTTATCATTCCAAACACCTTCCCATATTTTATCATCCCAGGGAACAAATGTACCCTTTGGCTTATTATTCCAGCTTTTTCATTTCATCCACTAGAACTTTCAGAACAATGTTAATAATAGATTAGAGAGTAATCATCCATGTCTTGTTTCTGACTTTAATGGAAATTCTTTTGCCACACAGTTTGAGGTAATTATTCTTTCTCATGCCGAGGAAATATATTTTTATTCTAATTCATTATAGGTCTTCCTCAGAAGTGGTTGTTGCTGCATTTGAGGGCATTTATTGATTTTTGTTTCCTTGATCAGTTGTTGTGATGAGTTATAGATTTCTGAATACTGAAATCTTTTCATTCCTGAAATAAATGATTCCTGGTCTTGATATATTCTTTTCAAAATACTTTGGATTTGATCTGATGAAATTTTATTCAGGATCTTTTGTATACGTCTTCACATGTGAGACTGCTCAACAGTTCACTTTTGGGGTGGTCTTAATCCAGTATTGGGATTCAGGCTGTGGTTTCCTAACATGATCCAAGGTGTGCTTACCTTTCTTTTTGCCCTGATGGATTTTGAATGCAATAGGAAGTCTTTGTTCCTTAAAGTTCATTACTCATTTATAAAGCCATCCAGATCTGAAAACGTTTTAGAGGTTTTTTTTGACACTTTCCCCTCAGTTTTATCTTTGTTTTTGCTGCTTATTGAGTAAATTTTTGTCATATATTTCATATAAAATTATTTACTTCCTGGATCTTTTCAAAATCATCAGTTGCTATTTTGACTATCTTTTGGTGGTGCTAGGGACTGAACTCAGGGCCTCAGACATGCTAAGCATGTTCTCAACCACTGAGCCACATTGCCAGTCTCCTTTCTTCTTATTCTAAAAGGTATCAGAGATTGTGTTTTCTCATTTCTAATTGGTTGAATCCATGTTCTTTTTGTTAACAATATTGGATTTTATTGCATTATATTTGGAAAACATGGCCTATTTAATTTCCGTGTCAAGGATTTATTGAGATTTTTTTTCCTGTGGGTGTGGCCTAATGTTTTCAAATGATATATGGTTATAGGAGATCTCTAGGGCATAATATTTAACCCATATTTCCATTTGATTTTTTTGTATAAAATGGAAGTTGTGTTGTCTTCCACTGTATTTGATTTCTGTCAATTTCTCTTTGTATTTATGATAGTTTTTCCTTTGTATATCTTAATGAAATATCCAAAGCACAATTATTCATTATAGCTGTAGTTTTATTATGGATTATACCTTTAATCCATATAAAATGACCTGAAAAATGGTTTTCTTTGCCCAAGAGAATATTGTTGTATTTTGATGTTAATGTTGTGTCCTCTGTTTATTTCTGTTTTTATTTGCCTGATGTACTTTGGATCTTCCTTTTATTTTTACCTGTTTTGGATCACTTCAATGTTTTTAGCCTTTTTTTTTTTAACCTCCTATAGAAGCATTGTCTCCTGGCTTTCTATGGCAATAATAGAGAAACTTGAGACAGATTCTTTTTTGTTGTTGTTCCTTTGGAGCTAACCAAAAGTTTTCTTCTTCTTTTTTTTTAAAGATGTTTCTAGATTTTCCCCTAATCTATGTAGTTCATAAATGTTATCTGTAAATATATAATTTTTATGGACTGTTTTGGTCTAAATTATAGTAAGGTCTTACAATTTGTATACATAAACCTTTATTTCAGTTTAGAAAAATTTTCTTCTATTATATCAATACTAATTGTCTAAACCCAGGCTCTCTGGTCTTTGTCTCTGGTTTTTCTCTCCCACGTCTGTCTGTCTATACTCCATCATTGTCTTCACGTCTCTGTCCCTGAACTTTTACTTTTGAGAGACAAATAGGGCTGACCGGTATTCCCATTGCCTCATCAATCAGCATCTGCTAGGGAGAAAGATGGATGCCTGAAAATACAATGAGTACATGTCCAGAAGTGGGTGTGGAGAGGAGAAGTTGTCAGGGTCATGAGTTATTCTCTGTGTAGCTCCATTTGTCTTAGATTTTTTTTTTTCATAGGTGTGCTCTTCACTATTGTCTTTCAGGGAGGTCACTGAGTTTCCATCTGGCCCAGTTAGACCTGTGTCATAAACATGGTGTTCAACCAGACTCACTTATGGAGCTGGTCAGAGTAAGAATCCTGTACATTAAGATCTGAGAGCAGAGGTGTGGGAACTCTTGTAGAGCCCTGCTGTTCTCATCTCCTGCCCCTGGGTCCTGTGGGTGGAGGAATCCTCACAGTTGAAACTCCTCAGAGTCAGGGAAGGGAATTTTGTTTGAGACCAAACACAGAAGATGTGACGGAGTGAATGTTTTCAGGCCTATTTTGGCCTCTTGGCAACCCTAGAACTCCACAGTTCTTTGTAAGAGAGGAATTGAAAGAACGGGGATATGAACCCTCTCTCCAGTAGGCCCACTTGCCTGGCTTTGCCAAGACCTGATGTCCTTTCCTTTTGCTGCTAGGGATGAAGCAAAGAGGTAGTTTCTTGTGTGGGAAACCCACCTACAGGACGGGATCTAAGACTAGTCAATTTTGTATTAGAAATCCTTGACTTTGGAGTTTTGTCGTTGCTCTTGCTCATCTAACTGGGACTTTAGAACACTGTCCCTGGCAATGCTGCATTCAGTGGACACATGCCCTGGGGGGGTGGGGGCATCTCATATGGTTGATACAGGCCCTTTGTGGTGGTGAGGCCCACCCTCACATCGTCAGACCATCTCATTTTAACTAATGGCCAATATGATACGGGAAATACATCACATTGTAGTCGACGCGGGGGTTACAAATATGATAAAAGTTTCCAAAGAGCTTTTTAGTCCATTAGAGTTTTAGTGGGGAGCTGGGAGAGGCAGCTTTGAGAGACTCTCAGGCAGACATCATTGTAAGCTAGAATCCTTGCTTATTGATTCTCTTATTGGTTCCTAGACACTGAGTCATCCAAGTGCAGGGCATTCAGATTCCTTGTTCTACCTCCCCGAGTGAGGCACTGTCATCATGGTTAATGGAATGGACTGGACATCAACTCCGAGACTCTCTCGGTGTTCTGAGGATGAGACTGTCAAACCTTCTTGGCCTGTTTCCAAGTCTCTTGCTTCTCCAGAAATTTCCCAGAAGGAACCATCACATAAAAAGAGTCTATGTGTGCAGAGAGGAACAGACATGCCCTAATGGTAACCTCAAACACATTGGTCAGCCTTGACTTCAGGAGTTTATGACTCCTGAAAATGACTCAAGAAAGTCAAGGAATTTATTTCCCAACTGACTTGGCTTTCTAAATTACAAAAAAAAAAAAAAAATTGTTACATGATCTAGCTAAAATGGCATGATAATATCAGATCTAATGACTGGTAACTTCTTCATTAGAGCTAACTGATGAAATAGACCTTTATTTCCACTCAGAAATTTATTCTTGTTTCTTTAAAATTAATTAATTAATTTTAATTAGGTAAGTATGACATCAGAATAAATTTTGATTCATTGTACACAATTGCAGCACAACTTTTCATTTCTCTGGTTGTATATGATGTAGCGACGCTCCATATGTGCAGTTATACATGTATCTAGGGTAATGATGTCCATCTCATTCCACCATCTTTCCTGCCCCCATATCCCCCTCCCTCCCCTCTGCCCCATCAAACTTCATCCATTTTTTCCAAGTCCATTGGGTATAGACCAAGGAGTGGGATAGCAGGGTCAAATGGTGGTTTAATTCCAAGTTTACTAAGGAATTTTCATACTGCTTTCCAGATTAGTTGTAGTCCCTATTTGCTGTCCCACCAGCAATGTGTGAGGAATGTGCTTTTTCCTCCACATCCTCACCAACATTTATTGTTGTCTGTATTCTTGATAACTGTCACTCTAATTAGTGTGAGATGAAATCTTAGAGTAGATTTGATTTGCATTTCTCTAATTACTAGAGATGTTGAATATTTTTTCACATATTTGTCGATTGATTGTATAATCTTCTGAGAAGTGTCTGTTCAGCTCCTTAGCTCATTTATTGATTGGGTTGTTTGTTATTTTGGTGTTAAGTTTTTTGAGTTCTTTATATATCCTGGAGATTCATGTTCTATCTGATGTGTGTGTGGCAAAAATTTGCTCCCAGGATGTAGGCTCTTTCTTCACCACATTGATTATTTCTTTTGCTGAGAAGAAGCTTTTTAGTTTGAGTCCATTCCATTTGTTATTTCTTGATTTTATTTCTTGTGCTTTAAGAGTCTTGTTAAGGAAGTCAGGGCCTAATATGATGAGATGAAGATTTGGGTATTCTTGGTTTTACTCGATGTCCATTCTTAGGGTTTATGGTAATCTTGGCATTCTGAGAACTCTTTATTCTGTGATCTGAGTGTTACCATTTTTTAAAAATCAAAAGCAATGCCATGTTTAGTTAAATGAGCAGAGGACTTTATGGACTTTCTATGGACTTTCTCCCTCTGGATGAAGATTAAAGAATATTGATTGCCTAGGGATGTTTCTTGTATAGCTGTAAGAATTTGAAGAGGCTTAGTGCAGGAATAGGAGGGTTGAGCTGACGGGAGCTCCTGACCCTGAGAGCTGTCCTATCCCTACTGCTGTCCCCTGCAGACTTTTCCATGATGACGCCCATCAATGACCTCCACACTACTGACACCCTGAACCTGGCCAAGGGGGAGCGGCGCATGCGCTGCAAGATCAGCAGTGTCTACCGACTCCTAGACCTCTATGGCTGGGCCCAGCTGAGCGACACCTATGTTACGGTGAGAAAAGCACCTGGAGCAGGATGGGACATTGCATGTAGCCCCCACAAGAGCCAAAAGGGGAACTCTGATCACTAAAACAGATAACCTACCCAGTGGACACTTTGGGTGGGGTCCAGGATCACCTGGACCCTACTTCTGAGGCTGTTCTTGAACATTGTGAGATTCCTCTTCACGCTGTGGTTCCCCAGCTCCATGGACAGCTGAGTCCTCTTCATCTCTTAATGGTTGGGGGAGAGGCAAGAGTTCATTAAAGTGGATTCAGGAAGGAAGAGATTCAAGTGTCCTTAGAAATGTCCCATTTCCCTATTTGTCCCTAAAAATGTGTGTTTTTCCTGCAGCTGAGAGTCAGCAAGGAGCAGGACCACTTCCTGATTAGCCCCAAGGGAGTTTCCTGCAGTGAAGTCACGGCGTCCAGCCTGGTGAGTACCCTTGGCATCTCGAGGACTCCTCCACAGCAGGGGGGAGGAGGGAGAAGGGATGAGCTGGAGTCCTCCAAGTGGAGAAATGGGAGGATGGGAGGGGGGCGGACACATTGGAATGAGAAGCTCAGAAACGCGAGACCTAACTGATGCTGGGGCTCTTAGAGGTTGCTTCTGGATCCCTCCCAGGCTGCTCCTTTTAGGTGGGATGGGAGGAGGCATCCAGAAGGTGGTACAGGCCAGGAAAGATTTCTGGGTGGAAGGGACAGAGCAGTAGAAAGGACTGTCTTGAAAGCAGAAGCGCCCAGTGCTTCTCAGAGACACAGGCTGCCATTCCTTGTAGCTGGGAGGGGAGGACACCACCTGGGCGCTTGAGTCATGTCCAACTGTAGAGTCCAGGTACTCGGTCAAAAGTCCAGGCTGACAGAACCACTGAACATCCAGGCAGAACAGGACCTCAAGGTTGGCCAAGGCCATTTTATATGCAGAAAAGGACACTGGTGCTCACAGAGGGTACGTGACCCAAGGAGGTGACGGCCAGGTGAGAACTGGGATCACAGAGACAGGAGCAACACGGGCTCTGTTTTTAAAGGCTTTATTGTCATGTTGGGGGAGACAGGCAAGGTAGTCACTGAGGACAGCTCAGAGTGTAGAGTACTCCAGGAGAGCTTTGGGAGCCCAGGGAGGGGCACCATGCTCTGCCAACAGCCCCAGGAGGTGGAGGCATGGAGGGAAGAGCCTTCTAATTGAAACAATGGTGCAGAAGGGAGTTCTGGTGAGTCCACAGGATAAGCAGACTTACCTGGCCAGCAGGGAGAGGGCTGGCAGAGGTGTCCTGACCTTGGCAAGAGCGTAGCATGCTCCAAGCTCTGGTGTTCATGGGTCCCGTTATACCAGGGAGAACAGGCAGGTAGCAAGTCTGGCGTAGATGTTCAGAATCTAGAGGTGAGGCTGGAAATGGGGTGGGGACCAGATGATAAGAAGCCTGGAAGGACTTGTTACAGCATTTTGGCTTTATTCTTCTGGAATTTCAGAGCTGCTGGTGTACTATAAGCACTTACTCAGCACACATCTGAGCAAGCAGGGAACTAGCCTGAAGGAAACCAGAAGTTATCACTGGACACTCAGGTTCCAAGTGCCTGAGGGGGAGAGTTGCTGCCACTGCCAAAGTGTGGAAGTCACGTTCATTTTGTAAAACTCACTTAACGAAGTGTACTGAAGTACTATGAGTGGTACAATTGGGTTTCCATTGTGTAAAGGTCACTGACCATGATGTGGAGGCCAGCTGATATCAGGACAACTGGTTAGTGCTGTTACAGTAAGCCGGGCAGAACATTTTGGTCCTGTGGGCTTTTGGGGCCTGGCGATCAACTGGATTGAGATTTGAGTTTGAGGAGCTGGTGGGACATTCAGGAGGACAAGTCATTTGACATCTGATTATTCTAGGTTTAGAAGAGACCTAATCTTGAGATAGAGGCTTGAGAGTCATGAGCATGTGTCACTCAGGGAGTATGTATAGTCTTAGGGCTGCAATGTATGGTTGTGCAGTTTGTATACTGCACAAGGGAGCCTGGCTGGCAGGGAAGATTGAAGAGGGTGAAATTCAGCCTGTGTGCCACTCACTAATGCTTGGCTTCTTCAAATTAGCATAGAAGCAACATCCATGTGCCAAGCCCTGCACCCCTGGGGCTACCCTCAGAGGGAATATTTGTTTATTCATTTGTGCAAAGGCACCTCATGGGTTGGTGGTTGTCTTATTAGCTGTGGAGATTCTTGAGTGATCACAGGTCACACATCCAAGGACGAGGCAAGAAACACATGAAGTCAAAGAGGGGCCATCCCAGAGTGGGAATTCTGAACTCAGCACACATCGGAGCAAGCAGGGAACTAGGATGAAGGAAACCAGAAGTTATCACAGGACACTCAGGTTCACAGTGCCTGAGGGGGAGAGTTGCTGCCACTTCCAAGTGTTGAAGTCACCTTCATTTTGTAAAATTCACTTAAAGAAGAATTTCATAAGAGGGGATTTACTGGACATCTTACTGATGCTTCTGCTTAAGCAGATGATGTCAGTAGCCTGTCCCTTCCCCCACACCAGGGTCTGTCTCCTTCCTTTAGTCCCCTCTGCTGGGGCTTTCAGGGATGGAGATGCAGGCAGTTTATAGGACTGCCTTGTAGGCTACCTTGAAGATGGCTCCACTGCTTCAGCTTGAAAAGCCCAAGTTATACTTTTTAGAAGCTCTAATCTAGCTCGGTAATGTCCAGGGGATATCTGTAATCAGTAAGTAGATTAACTACCAGCAAGAGGGAAATTGCTCTGGGGAACAGGGCGTGTTCTCAGCGCAGGTGTTAGGAGGACCTCTTTAAGGATTTGGGTTGGTGTTGGCTGATGGGGATGTGGCCTCGGAGCGTGTGCTGTAGGGTTGCAGCAATTCTAAGATTGGATGTTTTCCCAGTTGCTATCCAGGGGGCCCCTGGCTTGGAGTGAGGCTTTAGCTCTTTGGTAAAGAAGCAGCAGTTCCTCCCGTGAACCAGGAGAGGGGGGTATTGGCCGATTTTGTACTTGCACTGTGTTGTCTGAGTCAGTCTGTTTATATATGCTTAAGGAGTGGTCATTTGTCTTGTTGTGTCAGTTACAAAGTGACCTTCTCTGATGTTGGCATTTTGTGAAATTGTCTAAGTAAGGGACACCATGGCCAGCCACAGCTTGTTCTCTCCCTCTTGTTTCCTCATGCAAGAGATTGGACACATACACACACACACACACACACACACACAAAATAACCATGTGAGTTTTAGAGTCAAAAGTAGATTATAAAGCCAGTGACTTCGTTCTACTCATTTTTAAACTCTGCCTTCTGGGTGGTTGGTAAATGGGTGTGCAGTATACTAGTCTCTTTACCTTTGTGTATGATTTTTAAATTTAAAAATAAAAAGACTCAATTTAGACACAATTTCCTCTGGGAAGACTTCTGATCCTCCTGTTCTGCTGGGATTAAAGACTCCTTCTACCTAGTTCTAGAGAATTCTGTGAATGACTAAATTCTTGTAACTCAAAGTGGGGTCCGTGACCCACAGCATGGGTATCACTTAGGAAGGTGCTAGAAATGCAGAATTTGCATTTTGACAGGGGATTCACATGCACGGAAAAGTCTAAGGAACTCTGTTCTAGCATTTCCCCTGCTGAATGATATCATCTTGTGATCCCTAAAGATTGTTCACTCTCTGAGGGCAGGACTGGGTCCTTGTCCTTCAACACCAAACTCAGCCATTGCTCCTGGGGTCTAGAATAGGGAATAGAAGGGTTGGTGAGTGCAGGGCTCACCTCCTGGGGGAGGAGGAAAGGCCCCGCCCACACTGTTACTCTGAGACTCTTCTCTGGCACAGATCAAGGTGAACATCCTGGGAGAGGTGGTGGAGAAGGGCAGCAGCTGCTTCCCGGTGGACACCTCGGGCTTCTGTCTGCACTCAGCCATCTATGCAGCCAGGCCTGATGTTCGGTGCGTCATCCACCTGCATACGCCAGCCACGGCAGCGGTGAGTGGTGCTTTCCTGGCACTCTGAGGTCCTCATCCACTGTCACCTCCCTGCACAGCAGCCAGATCCAGGGCACCTGCATCTGAAAGATTCTCCCTGAGGCAAGACTAAGACTTGATGATGGAGTTGTGCCAAGCATGTGTGTCTGGAGAGCCCAAGGCCAACTCATGGAGTAGAGTGAGGGTTCCCTCCATGCTCCTTGCTCTTCATAAGAGGTGGGAGTCAGGGTCACATCCTGTGCTTTACCACTGGTTCCTGGCACTTCTGCAGCCCCAGAGCCATAAAATGGTTTCTCATTGGTCTTCCTTGCAGAGACGTGTCGGTTTCTGCACTGAAACCAAAGCTGAGTGTTTTCTCCAACCCATCCCGGGGATCTTGAGCCTGCTCCACCTGGTACAAACTCCCATCCCTCCTTCCTGGAGTCACAGGACCACAGCCGGGCTGGGGCAGGACAGAAACAGCTCTCTTGAATCATTGTACCCAGCATTTCTAACAGCTGGTGTATTGGTGTGAAAACTGACATTAGAGGCAGAAGCATGAGAGCAGATCCCAGCCGGTGGAGGAGGAGACCCAGGCCTTTCTCTGTAGCTGCTCCCCTGACCCTGCCTGCCCCAGAGCAAAACTGGACTGTGCTGGGCTGTGGAAAAGGCCAGTGGAACTGGGGGCAGCAGGTGCTAGCCATTCCATTGTCTCCCTACAGGTCTCAGCCATGAAGTGTGGCCTCCTGCCTGTCTCCCACAATGCCCTGCTGGTGGGGGACATGGCCTATTATGACTTCAACGGGGAAATGGAGCAGGAAGCTGATCGCATCAACCTGCAGAAGTGCCTTGGCCCCACCTGCAAGGTTCGCTCAGCTCTTCTGGGAAGGTGTTCTGGAGTGGCGTTGTCAAAACCGACATCACGAAAGTGACATGTATTCACTAGAGAATGTTTAGAGGTTGCAGATAGGTTTCACACTACTAGATTTTGGTGTACACCCTAAGTGTTCTCATATATACCTACAAAATTGGGATCATAAAATATGTTCTCTTTTTTGCCCTTAGCAAAATATAGTATTATCATTAAACATTTTCTGTCACTATTTTAAATTATTAAATTATGCCTTATATGAATAGCTGACTGCTATTAGCTGAGCAGTCCTCTAGGGTAGGATATCAGAAGGCTTGTCTTCACCCCCTCAAATTTTCTCTTCATATAAACAACAGTGGGATCAAAATCCTTTTGACTAAATCTTCCTATGCTTGAGATAATTTCCTTAGGACAAATTTCTAGGGATGCACATTTTATAACTCTTGCTTCATATTGATCAGTTGCCTCCCCCTAACAACTCTCTGTCCTTCCCCATGTCTAATATAGAGGATGTTATTTCCCCAGTCTCCCCAAACTTGAGTGTTATCAATTCATTCATTCATTCATTCATTCATTCATTCATTCATTATCAACCTGCTAGAGAAAAGTGGAACACCGTTACTGCTTGGGTGAAGTCTAAAGCCCTAACATACAACAGCACACACTTGAGCTTGGAAACAGCCTGGGTTGGTGGTTGCTTGCCACCATCTTGGCAAGGCACTCACTGTCTATTTCCTGAGTCCCTGTCTCCCTGTCTCTAACTCAGGTGAGAAGTCTTACCTCTCTTTCCCAACATCCTCCAAAGTATCATGAGCAGTGTCAGGACAGGGATGAGATTTTTACACTTTAAAGTATTATAAGAAATTGAGAGAGGGGGTGTTCACTGTTTGCAGTCTTTTGTGGGCCAGAGTCATTGTCTCCATCTCTCTGGACTTGAGAGAAAGGGTCTGCAGCTGTTTTAAGCTAGAGGGTGTGCTGTTGAGAGCCTCGAGGCCTCAGCCCAGGCTCTGCAAGGACAGATCCGATCCATGGACCTGTATCTCAGCTCCCATGTGGGCCCTGTCTGGCTTTAGAGAGTTCTCAAGGGAAAAACCAACCAAGTAAACTTTCTGGCAGGGAAGATAGGCTTGGCCCTTGGGGATGGGTACTCTTGGTGTAAATTCATTTCTGTCTCCTCCTCTATCCACCTGCTTCCAGCTAAGACTGAAAAATTGGACCAATAGTGAGAACCTCAGGGTTCAAGTTCATATTTTTGCCTCTAATTAGCTGGAAGACTTTCTGTTTCTTAAGATTTCTATTTCCACATCTATAAAATCAATTTGGGAGACCAGTGTAGCCTCTTTCACAGAACTGTGGAATCCTGGAGCTGCCAGGGCCTCACTGAGTTTATGGAGTGAAAACCTGAGGCCCAGAGAGGGGATGCCACTTACCTGTTTTTGCAGAGCCACCTCAAAGAACTGTCCTCTTGGGTTTTGGTCCTAAGTCAACTAATTCACAGGAGCAAGAGATGCTTTTGAGGTTGAACTCTTGTATTAGACATCAAAAAATTCATTCGTTTACACACACACACACACATACACACACCCAGTTTTTCTGATTTCTGAGTTCTCTGACACCTAAAAATCCAGGCATTGTCCCCCCAAATTTAAGTACCCCGAGTTTAATCCCCAGTACCACCCCCCCCACAAAAAAAGCCTTTTCAATTTCAATGCAAGGGGCATTGGGATGTTTGATTAGGGAGAATGAATAAGGAGCTGGGGGAGGGGCTCTGGGAAGGGCTATAGAAAGTGCTCTAAATAAAATAAAAAATCTCTCCCTCTTAAGTTTTGAAGGCTTGAGGTTTAATTGGCTTTTTCCTCCTCCACAGATCCTGGTGCTAAGAAACCATGGCATGGTCGCTCTAGGTGACACCGTAGAGGAGGCATTTTATAAGATCTTCCACCTGCAGGCTGCCTGTGAGATACAGGTGAGCGCATCCCTCTGGGAAGTGGGCCCAGGAGTTGGCTCTGATGGGTGCCTGTGGGTGAAGGCAGTGGCTCTGCTGGCTCTGAGTTGGGGAGTCCTTTGCACCTGGCCCTGTGACACTCTTGTCTGTTTTCTCATCATGGCATCACTTCACACTTCTGAAAATTCACATTTAGAGTCAGTTCTGTGAGTTGGCAAAACCGATCACCATTGTCTGGTCACCCAACGTTTGGGGGTCAAACCTAGGACAGGGAGCTGTTTGGACTCTTCAGCTAGAAGAGGGAGAGATTGTCATCGTGAGTATGCCATGCTTACATGTTACCTGGGTGCACCTGCGGCACCTAGCTGTGCCCAGCGTGCAGGGTCGTTTTGGTGTCCTGTTTGCCCCCTCCGGCTAGCCCAGCAGAGCAGAGCTCAGTCGAAGGCTGCTGCCTCTCTCTGAGGCATTACTCTGGGAGGAAGTAGATCAGTCCAGAAGAATCCAGAATAATCGCTAGTGGAGCTCTATCAGTAGTTTTTAGAAGACTATCTTTTCTTTGAAAAGAAAGCTGTGAAGCCGGTGATAAAGAGGTTTTATGGGAAATGGTGTGAGACCACCTCCCTGCCCCCAAATAGCCAGAACCAGAGACCCAGGGGAGGTGGGCAGAGCCAGGTGGTGCCTCCCTGGTGTGGTGTCCTTCCCCCAATCAAGGATACTGGCCCTGAATTCTGACTATTGGCTGGTGTCAGAACCAACAGAACCTCACTAGAAAGGGAAGCCGCTGGCCCTTCCCCACACCTGAACACTCAAGGACTCCACATTTTGCCTCTAGAGAAGAAAGAGGCTTCCCTGAGAAAATAGCTCATGGAAACTCCTCATCCTCAAAAGACAGCTTAGCCCTAAAAATAGATGGAAACAGATGCCTGTGAGTCCCCGCCCCGGCACAGTGAAGTATGTGTCTTCCAGACCCTGGAAGTGGCCACTGGGCAACTTAAGCAAAAGCAGAGTGGTCATGTGTGATCAAAGGGCAGTGCTGCCGGCCACCCTCCCTGACAGCCCCCCATGGCTGCTGTCACTTTCTGTTCAAGACTGGTTTGATGTGACCTTGTTAAAGTACCTTAGGCGATGTGGCTAGCAACCCCCAGAGAAGCTCCAGTGGCTTTTTCCCAACTGTTGGGGCAGAGAGGCTTCTAAAGCATGGAGCCGGAAGAAGTGGAAGAAACCCAGAGATGATGGGAGCAGAAGGTGGTGGATTAGGACACGGGGAAGCACAGGTAGCAGCGATCTGCTACGGGGATTGTACTGGGGTCATGTGAGGTAGAGGGGGCAGTGCTGAAGCTCTGTTTCCACCCTGGGCCTCGTTTTCTCCCTCAGTCACATTGGTAAACAAGCAGACGTGGCTGTGGTCATGTTTGTAGTTAAAGGCTGAGTGCCTGTTCAGCTCTCCTGGGAACTCTTTACTCCCCATCAGTTTGGGGTTCCAGAAAACTGGGTCATCCCTAGCTGAGAGAGGCAGGTCCCTGCTCTGCTGACAGGCAGATGGGAAGATGCACAGGCAATTCTTCTCCATCTGCTACCCATCACCGTGGAAACTGGTGGAGGAAGAGGGAGGTGGGAGGAGGCAGCCCTTGCAAGGTTATGGGCCATTCTTTCCCTCCCTCCTCCTCCATTAATGACCAGTCTGAGGGGATGTTGCATCTCAGAGTTCATTTATCAGCAACATTCACGTGGAACTCCTTAGGGACCAGGGGCTATTCTAAGTACTTTACAATCATGGCCTTAAAGATTCCTCACAAGGTAGGCATTGCTATTTTCATTTAACAGAGGAGAAAACTGAGGCACAAAGATGACAAATAGTTGCCCGAAGTCACATAACAAGAAAATGACAGGGATTCAAACCCAGACAATCTGGCACCCAATTCCGTGCCCTTAAATAATACCCAGCACTGCCTTTCCAGGGCGGTAAGGGTCAGTGGGAACTGTCACATGGGCATATGGGCGTGTGTCTTGGGTGAAAAGAATGTGGAATATGTTCTTACTTCTGGCTCTTCCCAAGGAGATGGGGTTCACCTGGTAAACCTACCTGGCTGACCTTCAAGAAGTAGCACAGGGTCCGAAGTTAACCCTGGAATGTCACACACTCTCAGGCTGTCCAGACCCTCATGGGTTTATAGGCTTGCATTTATTTATCAGCAGGGTAAATGGATCCTTTCATTTTCAGTAAAAAAATATAGTCACAAAATGCCAGCACACTGCAAGTTTATGTGCTTAGGGCAGCTCCCCTGTAGTAAACAGGCTTACATGTGGTATCCAGTCTTCCTCAGGATGTAGATGCATTTATTAATGGGTAGCTTGGGACACTGACTCACTAGTGAAACTACTCAGAAGCCACTCTCCATCTCTGTAACCAGACTGATCCATCCAAATCCTGACCAGCCATATCTGAGTGGTAGGTATGTGGGAGTCCATAGAATATAACAGTCAGATAAGCATGGAATTGGAAAAGAAGATTAGTTTAGTAAGTAAATGTTTTTTTTTAGGATTATTCTAAAACTGCCCGCTTTATACACATACTTCTTCTCCCAATACTCCACATCCATGACCTGCAACCATCATCCCCTCCCCATGGAGCTTTGATGGTGAGAGAAATACTACAAGTCCATAAATGAAAGCTGTCTGGCCCCATGCACCATACCTGGCCATATAGTGACACTTCACCTGTCTTCTTTTTGGGGATTTCATTGACTGGCTAACCTTATCATGGAGGATGCATTCTTTATTTAGACCTGTTAACTCTTCCCATCAGGTTACACTTTTAGACCAATTTTCACTGGTTGGTCTAAAAGCTACACTATTTTTTTTTCAAGTGACTTGATTCACGTGTACGTGCACACACACACACACACACACACACAGTGAGAGAGAGAGAGAGAGAGAGAGAGAGAGACAGAGAGACAGAGAAAGTGTTTAAATACAGAAAAATAAAGAGAATAACAATAGACATCTACCACTCAGATTGTACTAGGGTCTGAATCCAGAGGCACAGCACTGTCCCCAGCCCTTTTGACTTTTTAAGACAGCTAAGTTGCTGAGACTAGCTAAGTTGCTGAGACTGGCTTTGAACTTGTGATCTTCCTGCCTCAGCCTCCCAAGTTGCTAGGATTACAGGCATGCACCACTGCACCTGGCAGATTTAACAAATATTAATAACCTTTTTGATTCAAATATTTAACTCTTGAAGAAATAAATTATTACAGACAAGAATTGAAGTTCCCTTTACAGCCATTTCCAATCTCATCTTGCCTCCTCAGAAATAATGACAATTCTAAGTTGGTCTGTATCCCAGGTAAATTTTCAGTTCCCTGTATTATTTTATTCCTAAGGTTTAACACTTGCTATTTTTGGCTTCTTCTCTGCAGTCTCTAAAAACTGAAATTAGCAAAGTAATTACTAATATCTCATTCCCCGGAAATAGTTGCATGTCCGATGAGTTTTGAGTGGCTTTTCCTCAATTTCCCGGGCATTTCTAGTTCTAAGTTCACCTCGTGGCCCTCAATGTCCTATTTTGTGCAGAAGCGTAGGAAGTGCAGGGGCCCCTATATGCACATGGGTTGAGGGTTCTTTGCTTCTGCTGCAGGTGTCAGCTCTGTCCAGTGCTGGGGGAGTGGAGAACCTCATCCTCCTGGAGCAGGAGAAGCACCGGCCCCACGAGGTCGGCTCTGTGCAGTGGGCTGGGAGTACTTTTGGGCCCATGCAGAAGAGCCGGCTGGGGGAGCACGAGTTTGAAGCCCTCATGAGGATGCTGGACAACCTGGTGAGTCCCCTGCCATTGCCCTTCCAGGCCAGTGTATGGAACCTTCACCTCTGGAACCAGGCAGTGCAAGGCATAAGGTGGCACAGAAACTGCCAACATCACGATCAAGTCATTGAGGGCTTCACTGATGGGCAATTTAACTTGGCATTTGTGGCCCTCCTAAAAATAGTTGAGTTTTCTTTAGTGATGGCTTTTGCCACTCCCTACTAAGTGCTGTGGATGTCATATCTGCACATTATTATAAGAAATAGTAATCCAGCAAAAATCAGAGCACATCTTCTTACAGTCAGAGCTGCTGTCATATTGGGGCGTAGTTCACCCCTCTTAAGTAGTTAGTCCTGCCTGTCTAATCTTATGACTTCAAAGCAGAAAGCACATAATATTATTAATTTCCTTATCCTTTATAAGAATGTTCTGTGGCAGTGATGAATCCATCAGGTAAGGAATTAAACTGGTATGTGTCTAGAAGCGGTCTGCTTCCTTAAAGGATACAAAAAAATTTTAGACATTCTTCCTTCTTCTAGGGGCTAACAATTTAGTTGATGAACAGGAGAAAATTTAAGAACAAGAGGAAAGCACTTAAAATGAGGGGTTAAATGCTGCAGGAGACAATAACCTCTTAGATTGCTCAGAGACGGAAAAGATGAAATCTGTCCTCTTAGCACTTCCATCTGGTTCATTTTCCCTGTTCCCTCTGCTACCTCCTCAGGCCCCCTTTATCATGTCAAGGCCATTATGATAATTAAATCTCTTCTTCTTGCCTTCATTTCCTCCAAGTCATCTTTACCTTATTACCAGATTGATCAAGAGGGTCACTTTGTAATGATGAAAGGTCCAGTCCACAATGAAAATACAATTCTTTCTACCATTTGTGCACTGACCAATCTCCATCTAAATAAAGCATCAGGACTAGATGGGTTTTGTACAGGAATTCTTTCAAACCTTTAGGAAACGGACGATTCTCATGCTATTTAAATGGTGTCAAAGAAGAGTGAAAGGAGGATACTGTTTTAGTCACCTTTTTCACTGCTGTGGCTAAAAGACCTGACAAGAACAATTATAGGAGGAAAAGTATGTTTGGGCGGCTCATGATTTCAGAGGTCTTCGATCATAGATGGCCGACTATATTTCTAAGGGCTTAAAGTAAAGTAGAACATCATGGCAGAGGAAAATGGCTCAGGATATGGCCAGGAAGCAGAGAGACTCCACTCACCAGATACAAAATATATGCCCCAAAGGCATGGGGTTAAGGCATGGGTTAGGGCTCCTATAACCCAATCATTTCACCTCTAAGCCTTTTTGCATTTCTCACACATGAGCTTTTGGAGGACCTAATATTCATAACAGATGCTAAGCCATAAAAATTACATTCAGACTAATTTACTTTGAATATGGATGAAAAATGTTGCCTGAAAACTAACAAGTAGTATAGAACATAATGTTAGAATAATAACACCCATTAACTAAGTAAGGGCTGATTCCCAGAATTCAAGCATGGTTGAATATTATAAGACTTTAAATATATTTCCCAATATTGAAGGGCCAAAGGATGAAACCTTTTTGAAGATTTTAATAAATATAAAAAAATGGATAAAAATTTAATATCAATTTATAAAAATATTATCTACCAGTTAGAACTGGAAGATACTTATTTAACATGATTAAAATGATTTTTCTCAAAACAAGAGCCAATATTATGGTAAAACCATAGAAGTATTCCAAGGAACTTTGAAATAAAACAATGATTCCCACTTTCAGCACAATTACTTAATATTGTTCTGAAATAATATTGAACTCAATCCCAGGCAGTGAGATATGAGAATAAGAGGCATAAATATTGTAAAGGAAATAAGATGACTATTTGGAACAGATAATATGCTTACCTGCTTAGAGAATTCCCCCAAAATCAACTAAAAAATTAGAAATAAGGAGGGTATTTTAAGGTGGTCAGTTTTGAAAATATATACAAAAATCATTAATTTTTGTATCTTCATGTTAACTACTTGGAAAATATAATGGAGGCAAGGGATGTAACTTAGTGATAGAGCACTTGCCTAGCATGTGTGATGTAAAGGCCCTGGGTTTGATCCCTAGCACCACACATGCGCGCACACACACACACACACACACATCCACACACACACACACAAAATAGCTAATGATATAATAGAAAAATCGTATTCTCAAAGGCAACAAAATCATAAACATTAAGCAAACCTCATTTAAAGGAAACCACAAAACTTTAACAGTAGACATCAGAAAAGTTGAAATCGATGAAAAAAATATAACTTATGCTTGTTCATAGGTAAAGAGGTCACAACCCCAAGATCAATCTACAAACTGAATGTGATTCTGTCAAAAACTAGGGAAGGGAAAAGGACATAAAAAATACTTTCAATGTGAAATTCAGAATGACTAGGAAAATGCTATAAAAAGAAATAATTAAGGACACTAGCTCCACCCCATGGTAAAGTAGGATAAAGCTTTAGTAACTGAGCAGTTCCTAAACAGTTTGGACAAGCAAACCCATGTGACAGCTTAGAGAATCCAGAAATAAACCCAAAATACATGAAAATTCACAGAGGTAGCAGGCACTGTACAAATCAGTGAGAAAAGGTAGACTTCTGGCCATGTGGGAAGAACATGGCTACTTCATTATTTTCAATAAGATAAAATCCCAAGTTATCAAAAATTTAAATACAAAAGTGAATTCACAGAGGTATTAAAAACATTGGGAAAGACCTTGTCAAGCATGGCAAGAGTCTGAAATTGTAAGAATAAATATTGACAGGTATGATTCCATGAGACAATTAAAACTTGCAGTTTGATAAATCATTCCCCTGCCATAGACAAAGCTGAACATCAAATGAAGGGGGAAGATGTTTGCGACATTAGCTGACAGCCAAAGATTAATACTCTTAGTGTTAAAAGAGATGTATCAGTGTGAAAAGGAAAACCAACTCAATAGGAAATTAGCTGGGAGCATAATGATTTATAAAGGAAGACTTCAAGTGGCCACTATATGTAATTAAAACTATTCAATTTTACTAATAATCAAATGTACACATACCCACATATGTATACAGAGAAGACCAGAAAAAAAAATTTTGTGGTTATCTTTTGTGAAATTCACATTTTTCCTCATTTTTTTATATTGCTTAATTTTTTTTTCATGGGCCCATATTTTCTTTATAATCAGGAAATACCTTAATGTCATTTTAATTTTAAAAAGTAGTAGAAGAAGAAGACAAGGAGAGCCAAATATCACTCTGGCAGATGCCAAATTTCCGGAGTGTTTGTTCCCACTGATCTGTGGTCAGTTCTGCCTGTGGGGACGTGGTCTTGCTTAAGGAGCCAAAAATGTTATTGAGTCCAATCTTAGGACTCTAGGAGGAGTTCAGAAGCTTCAGAGTCGAGGAAGGGAGGGGTGACTTAGAATAAGCTGAGAAGCTTTTAATGCTCCCATGGCCGAAGCCAGGCAATCGTCCCGTCAAGTCCACAGCTCTGCATTAAGGCCCCAGACACAAGTATTTTTTGAAGCCCCTCTGTGATCCCAGTGCGCAGCCAGGGTTGAGAATCACCAGAGTGGATGAAACTGGGGACTCTGTGTGAATAAAGAGTTGTATGTGTCCATACTCCGAGAACCACAAGGTCCTAGGAATTTTCTCAGTCCTGATTGGAGACCCTTAGGAGCAAACAATTCTGAAATATCTTAGGAGAATGGCCACACCTAGGTTGTCTTATGGAAACTTGAGTTGAAACAGTCTATAAGTGGAAACAGTCTATAAGTGGAATGGGGCAAAGTGTGGCACGCGCGTGTGTTCAAAAACACAAGTACATATTCTGATCTTCCTCCTCTACAATGAGTGGTTCTATTTTTGTCCTTTCTAGGGCTACAGAACAGGCTACCCGTACCGCCACCCCTTTGTTCAAGAGAAAACCAAACACAAAAGTGAGGTGGAGATCCCAGCCACAGTCACTGCCTTTGTGTTTGAGGAGGATGGTGCCCCTGTCCCCGCCCTGCGACAGCATGCCCAGAAGCAGCAGAAGGAGAAGACCCGCTGGCTCAACACGCCCAATACCTACCTGCGGGTCAATGTGGCTGACGAGGTCCAGAGGAGCATGGGCAGCCCCCGGCCCAAGACCACAGTAAGGGGGAAGCCAGGACAGGCTGGGGTGGGGTGGGGGGTGCTGCATTTGTGGGGGTTAAGAGCTTTATAAGGGAGCAGAACAAATGGCCCCAGTACCCAAGGTTGTGCAGCTGCCTCTCAGGCTTCTTGTGGGGCCTCTGGGAACAACAGCTCAACACTTCCCACCCCTGGCCTGACCACCTCTTTCTTGCATCTCTGTGCTAAATTTTTGGTCTGAGGGGTAGATTTCTCTAGAGGGCAGCTGGACTAGGCTACTCTCCCCTGGAACAATTGATTTTTTTTACTTCTTGGTCTCATGTCCAAAGGGGGCTGCTGGGAAATACCAGGGTGAATATCCAACATTTCAATTGTAAATTTGAGGCAAAGCCAGGAGGTCAGGGGGCTTGTCTCGTATTAAGTTACCTTCCCTCTCACTCCCACTCTTCCTCTCTCTCTCAGACACACAGACTCTCAATTTGATTTTTTGTTTACATTAAAGTACCTGGCAGCCATATAGAATAGCTCTCCACCAAGCCTTTGAAACTCAGATTGAGTTATTTAATGCTGAAACCCAAGTGGTCGCCTGTCTAAGCTGGTTACCAAGGTTCTGATCCCTACCCTCCAGTGTTTGTTATGACCTAAGGCCTTCTTTGGCAGCCAGGTCATCTGTCACCCATCTGTCACAGCGTCAAAGAGGGCCAAGAAGAGAGAACATCTATGAATAATTCTGCTGAACTTCTGCATAGACTAGTGGGCGCAGATCACGAGGGGCGGGTCACTGGGGAGGGTCTGTGGGCCCTGTTCCTCTATCTTACCCACCTGGCCTTGCCTCGTGCAGTGGATGAAGGCTGATGAGGTGGAGAAATCCAGCAGTGGCATGCCAATCCGGATTGAAAACCCCAACCAATTTGTGCCTCTCTACACCGACCCCCAAGAAGTGCTGGACATGAGGAACAAGGTAAGGTGGTGTCTGCTGGCCTCGTTCTCTCTCCTCCCACAAGGGGACCTCAGTCCTGCAAACACAGGCTGAGTTCCCAGACATGCCCACCTTACTAGCACCTGGGATGTGCCACAAAAGAAAGAAGCTACCATATATGGATAGCCAAGAGAGTCCTAGATAGCCCTTTCCACACCAGTCTGTGGGCATTGCTCATTGGGTATGTCTGCAAGACCCACCCACTACATGACTTCCTATACATTTTATGCCATTTGTCTTATTTTTAAGACTTTGAGAACCTCAATATTTATTTCTGCACCTCTGCCTGATAATCCACTCATATTTCTAATGTTACTTTAAAACTGGAGCTGTGGCTGCCCATGGGCCAGTAGTGCCCAGAACAGTGTTCAGCCTGTGGCTGAGTTTCCCTGCAGCACTTGTCTGATTCCTGGGTCACTGCACCTCCCCCCCACCCCCCAATCAAGATTCAGACTCAGTAGGTGTAGGTGTGGGGAGGGCCAGGAATCTATATTTAAAACAGAGTCCTCATGGGCTTCTTAGGAATATTAAAATTTGAGACCCTCCCTCTGTGTCCCCTTCCCTCTTCTTGTCCTCACAGCTGCTTCTCCGATTTAATGAACTTGGTATTTACATGAACTGTGAATTCACTCGGGAACAGACCTGGGGACTTTCTCTTACAGGGGATGGGCTCCCTCACCCTGCAGGGCCCTTCTAGATTCCAGTCACAGACCACACTGGATCCCAGCAGGCCCCCTGGCAAGCTCCACACTCTGATGCCGCACCCTCCTTCTCTCCTTTCCACATAGATTCGAGAACAAAATCGGCAAGATGTGAAGTCGGCGGGGCCTCAGTCCCAGCTCCTGGCCAGCGTCATTGCTGAGAAGAGCCGAAGCCCGGTACAGCAGAGTCCGCCCCTGGCTGGAGGGGAGACATTTTTGCCTTCTGGGGCTTTGGTGCCTGGGGCTGGGCAGCAGGACCTCTGAGTCCTCATGCCCATCCTCCTCTGTGCTCTTGGGCATCCATGTTCTTGCTGCAGAATGGAGGTCCGCTCACGGGGGCTGTGAGGTCCCGGGAGGACAGTGTCTACCTGCCCTCTGCAGGCACTGGGCAGGGAAGCTGCTGTCCAGCTTGTTCTTGGGAGTGCTGCTGGCCAGCTCCGTACCTTCCACCCTGGTACCCTGCTCAGGCCTCTGTTAGTACCCTGTGGAGGGCTGGTGGCTCTCAGGTGCACCAGGCTTGCACGGCCCTGAGTGTTTCTGACCTCTGTGTGTGGATATGGCATCATCTGGCCAGAGTTCTGGGAAGATGCTCCTGACCCCCAGAGGGCCTGGACACAGGGTGTGTGCTCCTGAAGGGAAGGAAGGGCTGTCAGTTGCCCACACAACCCCACTTAGGTTAAGAAAGCATAAAGTCATTGTTTTGTTTTGGTGTTTTTTCTTTTTATTTTTTTTGTACCAGGGATGCTTAACCACTGAGCAACATCCCCAGCCCTTTTCAGTATTATTATTATTTTTTATTTTGAGAAAGGGCCTCAGTAAGTTGCTGCTGGCTTTGAACTTGCAATCCTCTTGCCTCAGCCTCCTAAGCTGCTGGGATTACAGGCATGCGCCACAGTGCCTGGCAAAGTCATTTTTTTGGTGCTTGAGTGCTTGAGCTAGAACGACATCTTTCTTGTCTAGTATTTAGCAAGTTCAGAATTCTGGCTTGTTTGAAGTCATTGCTGCTCAAGGCAAGGCAGCAATGGGCATGGCATTTTCTTTAGTAAAAAGTGGGGAAGTCCAGAAAATGTTCTCTACAAAGAAAATTGAGATGATGTGACGGTTTCAGATCAGGCAGCAGCCCACAAGGTGGTTCACTGCAAGGAGAAGTGTGTATGTTACATCCTTACATCCAACTCCCACCCACCCGAATTCAGCCACATGAAGAACACTGAACATGCCACAGGGTCAAGGATGGAAATAGCCTATGATTCTGGGGGAGGTGAAAGGTCAATACAGCAAGCAAAATTGCTGAAAAACAACTCTGCCATTTATACCAGGGGCTCTCCTTTGAGTCCCTCATCTTAGAATCTGGCTCCTTTGACTCTGATTCCTGCAATAGGCCTACCTCCGCCTCCCTTTGGGAAGGAGCCCCCTGGGCCTCTTGTCAGAAGACCTGGCTTCTCTGGGTTCAGTGCCCCTGGGCTTCACTTTCTTTTGCTCCAGAGCACTGCATTCTTAAAGGCCATGATGAGGATGTTCAATTAGGACAAAGGGCAATGGAGTCTGGATTTTAGTCCCTATTTTGGGCAAGAGTAGCCAAAGGATTCCGGAGGCTCACAATGTCTGGTTGATTAGCTCTCTAGAGCCGAGGGTCTCACAGGGGTGGTGAAATGGAGCGATTTTGCCAGTGTCCCTGAAGGTACCTGCAGGTTGGAAATCCGAGACTCAGGACCTTTGCCCCTTTGTAACCTATGACCATGCGCAAAACAGAACTCATAGCTTGGACTAAGAATGCTGCGGCTGCTGTGTTTGCTGTGTTTACTGCTGTGTGTTGGGTTTGCACTGCTGTTGGGGGTGGGCAGGGGCTCTGGTGGGGAATGGCTGGCATGAAGCTTGCTCAAGCCAACACTCTGCCTGCTAGGCTTGGGCTTGCCTACTGACTTTGGGCCACTGACTGTACATTTACATAGTAATGGCTTGGAAGTGTCCATAGAAGGGATTGCAATAAAGGTGCATCTTCCTCCTGCTTGGGAGCATCCTTTGATTTTATTTCAGGGGCAAAGAGTGGCCTCCCTGTATTATTCATCCAGGCAGTTGCAAAATCTGGGTCTGGTGATGAGGTAGCAGTGGGGAGGAATGAACAAGCCCTACCACGAGGCCCTGAGCTGTTTCCAAGGAGCTGCATGCCACGCTATGGCTAGCAAGACTGCTGGCAGCCACCTGAGTGTGAAAGGAGGCCCTGGCTTGGGCCCGGTCTGCGGCGTTCAGAGAGCGACACACACTCTATGGTTAACTTTCAGTCGACAGAGAGCCAGCTGATGTCCAAGGGTGATGCGGATACCAAAGATGATTCAGAGGAGACGGTGCCCAACCCCTTCAGCCAACTCACCGACCAGGAGCTGGAGGAGTACAAGAAAGAGGTGGAGAGGAAGAAACTAGAACTGGATGGTAAGTAACCCCGGGGCACCATGGCTTGGAAATCTCCCAGGGGAGAGGGCAGAGCTCAGGACCACCCAGGGAGGACTTCCTGCCCCATCACCAAATAATATTCCACTTATTTATTAATCCCAGTAATGCCTCTGTTGCTCTGTGCTTCACAGTTACATGGTGGCTGCATGACCTCATTGCCCTTTCACCTCCGTATAAAGAGTTAGCTTGTATAAAGTGCTCAGAATGGTGCCTGTAAATATGGCTTAGGTTGGCAAACACCAACTTAACGTTAGCTGGAATAAGATAAGAGTCATAATTATCATTAATGACCCATCAGGCCTGATGTAAGCCTTTGAGCCTGGCACCTTTATGTCTTTTCTAACTCCTCCTTAATTTCAGAGTCTTCACTCAAACCCGTCTCTCCATATTGACTCCCAGATATGTGATAGGATGCGTGCCCTGGTCCATGCCTGTGTCCCCTCCTGGCACTGTTTCCCTTCTTGCTAGCCTGATCTAAAGTCATCAATACTGCCAGCTCCCTCTCAAATCCCCCTCCAGCCAAGAAGGCCTCCCCGCCACCCTCCCCACTCCAGCCAAATTGAGCCGTCCCTTTTTTTTGGCTTTAAGAACACCCGGAATCTGAGACATACTTCAGCCCTTGGCAGTGTCCACTAGGGTAAGCTGTCATTCACCAGGGCAGCGTTTTCCTCCACCATCTCTCTTCACCCAGGGTCCGCCTTCTTCCAAAGCACAAAATGGAAGCTTGCCTGGCTGGCTTGCAGTTCTCATGGACCAATTGGAAGAACAGAAAAATATGGTGCTTGTTATCCCTAGGGATTGTTTGGACAGGACATGTAAATTTGCTGAGTTAACAAAGTAGCTACACACAAACAAATCACGGGTGTTTTTAAAGGGAGTCAGTGCTTGTTTGGGGCTGGCGCTTGCCCATGGATGTGCCTATCTGGCTGGTCCTCCTCAGAGACAGGACAGAGAGGAGGGGGCATTCTGCTGTCCCTTCAGGAATGACCTGTTGCACTGGTACATAAGCTCTGATGAAAGAAACAAGATCACTCTTCTCCCATTTTCCTCCTCAAGGAAACAGCAGAAATAAAAGCTTAGCAGGAGCGGGAGCTTCTGGCTGACCTCAGCCAGGAGGTTCATTTTCCGCCAGGAGGAATGATGACCAATTAGAAAATGGCAGCGTGGCTAGCATCCTCTCTCTCCACCCATCTGGCCAGTATTTGATCCCGGTGCTGAGGTGCTTTTCTGTGTTTTCAGGAGAGAAGGAGGCTGCCACAGAAGAGCCAGGCTCACCTGAAAAGTCAGCACCTGCTTCCCCAGCACAGAGCCCGGTGAAGGCAGAGACAAAGAGCCCTGTGGTCTCTCCTTCCAAGTCTTCAGAGGGTGAGTGGAGCTGAGCAGGTGGGGGTGGGGGGAGCATCCACAAGCTGGGAGAGGTGTCTGCGTGGATGGCAGGACAGCTAGGCACACTGGGCACCTGCCTTTCAACAGGTGTAATACCCCACCCCCCGCAACACACACCATTTGAAAAACTTTCCCCTCTGCTCTTTCTAGGAAATCTGAATAATTTTCAGTTTGTTTCATTCATAAACTCTGACAACACACCTTGCAGCTTAAGCCCTGCCAAGTAAAGCTGAACGAAAGACTGACCCATAGTCTCCTCACCTGCAGTGGAGACCCAGCTGGCTAGTGGGATTTTGCAGATATGCTAGCCCAGTTCTCAGACTTTAATGTGCATAGGGACTATGAAGATTCTGATCCATTAGGTCTGGGGTAGGGCCCGAGACTCTGCATTTCCCAGGGTGAGGCTGATGATGTCATTCTCCGCCTTCACTGGGCTTAGATCCCACCCACAGCAGCTATGAATTAGAGGACCTGGGTGGGGTGGGGCATGGGAAGGCCTGAAGCCTGGAGTTGTAAGAGCTCTCCAGGGGGATCTAGAACATAGACTAGGTTGAGAACCACTTCATTAGAGAGACAATAGTTTTGAGAACCTAGTTCTAGAACCATCTGAACTGCTAACTGATAATATCTAAGCTGCTAATTTTACCAAACCAGCAGGTTCCCCCATGTCCTTGTCTGCCAAATGGGGCTATTATTATTTTTTCCCTACTTAAGGTTCTTGCATGTATAAAGGAAGTATAGATGAAGACATACTTTGAAAGAATAAAATCATGCTTTAAATGTAAGATCTAGTCGTTATGAATAAGAATATCCATATGGTAGACACTGATACTGTTAAAGTCCCTAAATCATAAAAGTGTCTTTAATGAGCTCCTGGAATCACTCCAGGATATGAACGCTCCTCCCTGGGTCCCCTGAGTCTCCCAGAGACACCGCCAGACAGGCTGCCCTGCCATCCAGAGAGCAGGGTGGCAGCTGGGATCTTCTCTCTCCTGGGTAGATGGCCACACATGTGGACTCAGATAGAATCCCCACCCCAGCCCACCCCTGAGTCCCCCCCTAAACCAGTCGCTGCCTCGAGCACAGGCCCAGAATTGTCAGAGGAAACCCATCTGCTTGAGGCCAGGGCCCCAAGTGGATGTCCCCAGTGGTCTGTGTTCATTGTGTCTCATCATGGTGTCATGTTGTCAACCTGTCTCCACAACGTCTTCCTTTCTCTTCCCATTTGTGCCTTCATCAAAGGAGTTTCCTCCGATTCTGAATACTTGTCTCTGTAGTAAGTATAGAAAGGCTGTTTACTAACTCACTCCAACACTGGCAATGGGGGAGGGAGGAGTTTTTCAAAAGAAATAGATTTCTCCCAATTTTTTTCTTTTGCAACTCACACCCCCGCCTTCCTCAGTTTTTCTGGATATAAAATTCATGACCAGTTCCACCTGCACTATGCATAGACTAGGCTTCCCCGAGGGAGACACAGATGTACACACAGAGCACACACACCCAGAAGCAACAAGCATCCGCAGTGAGGGCTGTGGGGCAGCTCTCCCTGCGGTAGAGTGCTCGTGGCCCTCAGGAGCTCACCTCTGCCTCTGTTCTAATGCATGAGTACCTCTGAGGAGCTGGTGACCTCTTCTAGGGCTGTGGACCAGAGCCTGAGAGCCCCAAGGGAGCTGCTACACGGGAAGGCACAGAAGACTGGGCCTGATTAGAGCCCTCAGCACCTATGAGGATATGTGTACCAGTTGTAGGAAGGAAATCTGAGGCTGGAGAAGAGGCTTATGGTAGGAATGGGACAAAGAGTAGCACTTTGTTATCAGCTCCTGGAAGGGACGGAAGGCAGGAGGGTGTGTGATGGATGGGATAACTGTTTCCCCAACATCTGTCATCATACCCACTGTGGCAGGATTCCTCATTCTCTCTGGTCCAAATCTGTGCCCCTGGAGGGCACACTGAGGTCGAGTTGTGAGAAGAGTCACAGTCTCTCTGAAGACACATCCGTGCCACCGACAGAGCTGAGAAGCATGGCTACCTTGGAGCAGACCCTGCATGATGAAGGCATGAGCTTTGGTTGGGTGGGGAGACCAGTGTGAAGTGGGTGGTCAGTCCCTCAGGGCAGACAGGCTGGCATCTGCACTCTCGTATTTAGCTAGCCAGTCAGATCAGGAGTGTTTTTTTACAACCATTTGTCACCGTGCTCTTAAATCCCCACGAGTTACCGTAGTGTTACTCCTTATCTGTGTCCCAGATTCCTACTCCATCAGCTTCTCTGAAGGAGACTCTTTTCAAATCCTCTTCTTTTACATCTGGCCATCTGAGCCATCTTCTCTTTGGCTCTTGACTGACTGCCAACTGCCAACTCCATCCTCCAGCAACCCCTCAGGGCCACTGACTGGGCCAGCAAAGACACAGTCCTGTATTTGACATCACACCATCAGCTCTGCTACTAAATAATTTAGTCATCTTAAATATGTCACTTAAAAACACTGCAGATGGGGGAACAGCACAAATGCTTGCTCTTCCTAACTCATGGCGCTGTTGCCAGGATAAAAGAACCTAAGGAACATAAAAGTCCTTTGTAAGATATTTACATAAATTAGGTCTTATTACGTACCATGTTCTCTGAATTGTGAGAACTAATACATCTGACTTGACTTTTAAGCCTCTGAGTTTTGGGGTAGCACTAGATAATTATTAAATCATGGCACATAATAGGAACTGGTTTTATGGTTTTATGCTCTCCTGTGGATTGACGGACTGAGCTTGATGGTTCCTCTGCTGCATATGACATCGGCTGGGGCTGCATGTGGCTGGGAGCTTGACTAGGCTGGAACTTACCTGCTGGTGCACTCATGTCTGGTACCTTGGCAGAGGCCAAGAGAAAACTGGACTCAGCTGGGACACTGGTGTGTCTGGGTCTCTTTCCCCCTTCCTCCCTCTTCCTAACACACACACACACACACACACACACACACACACCCTTTCTTCCTTTCTCCCTCCTCCCGCCCCCAAGCTTCTCCATGTGGCCTTTCTGTATGCTTCCCTCAGGGTCGTTGGACTTTATACAAACTATAAAAGCAGCAGTTTCTAGTCCTACTTTAGTCTTTGGCATGAGGCTAGTTTTGCAGCACTTTGTCTGTCTTCTAGTGGTTATGGTGAGCCATGGGGCCAGCCTCGACTCAGGGAGGACGGGGTCTACATAAGCACGTGAATACCTGGAGGCATCACTCACGGGGGCCGTGTTTGCACACCAGCTGTACCACACACTGAAAGTATATTTGGGTGTCCAGGGGAGCGTCTGTGTCCTGGCTGTGGAGCGTGCGTGGCAGTCACAGAGACTCCACCTGCCCCTGGTTATAAGAAGCTCTACTTTCTCTCCTATCAGTGGTGCTGTCTCAGCCCTTTGTTGGGAGGTAGATGTGGAAGGAACTATGCCATTCTAAACCCATGTTTCCCACTGTGTGACCCATGGGTCTTTTGCACTAGAATTATCTAAGGACTTGTTAAAAAATTTAAATTTCTTGGCCCACCATCTGTTTCAGAGTCTTATCATGGAGACAATACAGGGAAGCTGTATTTTCATAGGCTCTCTGCAATTCTTTCACTGATGTTTAAAAATTGAAACCAGGGCAGAAACACTATTGCAAACCTCTCTGTATGGACAGCATACAATTTATTAATCCGCCATGGGGCAGTTCTGGCTGTTGGTCTTTGGCTCCCCTGCTCTGTCCCTTGAACACCCTGTGGGCTATTTTGATTGCTGCTACACAGTCAGCTCTGTGTTGGCATAGACCACAGATGTTTATTTCAAGGTTTTTATGAACCTTTCTTTTGGTTCTTTATACAGAAGAAGAGCTTTCTCTCAGCAGGAAAACAAAAACAGTAGATGGCAGTCACCAACTTTCTATGCATTTTGGATACAGTTGATGATCTGTCTGGTGGACCCCGAGTTTAGAAGCAAATCAGAAAATTCTGCTTCAGGGCCCTTCCTCTGGTGTCCATCCTCCTGCAGAGACAGGGCTTGAAAGAAAAGTGACCATAACACTTAGAGCAACCAAGAGATCTTTATTGCAGCAGTGCAACAGAGGAGAAAAGAAAGAGAGAGAGAGAGAGAGAGAGAGAGAGAGCGAGTGAGCAAGAGAGAGACAGAGAAAGCAAGAGAGAGGGGCCCGGCAGGAGGGAGTTTTTATAGCCCAAATCTAATGGGGTCTCTGGGTCTGCAAGCTGCCTTGTTGGCACAAGGGGGTTAAGTGTTCGGCCTTGAGTGGTGGCTTGGGCGTTTGGGCTTGAAGCAAACAGGTGATAAAGAACCAGACAGAGGGTTTGAGTGGCCAGGTCATCCTGCAGCTAACTTTGTTTGGCATGTCCTGCAGACAACTTACTCAGCCTGTCCTGCACCTAACAGGGCTGGGGCCAGGGATCATGGAATTTGGCCCTGAGATGTTAGAAGGCCAGGTTCATTAGGCCAGCGAGGAAAGGCATCCTTGCTCCTGTAGTTAGGCGAGGCCTCTTTCCTTCCCCATGTCCTCACTCCAGTGCGTGGGCACAGAAGATTTGGCTGCTGAAGAGAAGCAAGGTATCCTCTGTTGACCTTCATCTGGTCTCACCTGGAAAAAGGCTTGAGCATGTTATCACTGAGCTGGATGATGATGGCTGCCAGAGAAGTAAGACAGTCTCTGTCCTGAATGGTCTACTGGGGTGATAAATGATGTCTTAAAAAAGATGAGTGATGCATGCAAGTGCAAAATGATTATGTGAACAGTAGGTTTAGAAGAGGGCAAGGTCGTTGTCAAATACCAGGCAGATGCACAAGCTGTCTTGAGCCAGACTTTGGGGACATGTATACTTGGATTGGCAGATAGTAGTGGGGTAGGCTGTCCAGAGATGGTAGTCAGGAAGCAGGGAGAAAAGACATTCCTGGGAGGTGACTGTATTAGCTGTTCTCCAGAGAAACAGAATTAATAGGGCATATATAGACATATAAAAGAAGACTTACTAGGGAATGATTTTGGAGGCTGAGAAGCTTCATGATTGAGTGTCTGCAAGCTGGCAAACCAGGAAAGTCAGTGGTTTTATTCACCCTCAGCCTGAAGGCCTGAGATCCAGCATCTCTAATGTGTGAAGGAAGGAGAAGATGGATGTCCCAGCTCAAGAGGAGAGTTCACCTTTCTCCACCTTCTTGTTATATTTGGACCCTCCACAGATTGGATGATGCCCAACCTTATTTGATGAGGGTACAACTCCTTTACTCAGTCTACCGATTCAAGTGTTAATCTCTTCCAGAAACACCTTCACAGACATACCCAGAAGGATTGTTTTACCAGCTATGTGGGCATTCCTTAACTCAGTCAAGTGGACTTGTAGAATTAATCATCAAAGGGACACTGGTGAACCAAGAGGCAGCAAGTGGATGGAGACTATGGGATAATGAGAAATCAAGTCTGAGAAGTAGAGCATCTAGGAGGCTTTGCACCTCCTACAGAAGCCTGCCTTCTCTTTCAGAATCTGGAAGTCTTTCAGCCCTCTGTCCTGCAGACCTATGGGGTCTGGGAGTAGACCTGGTCTCTGAGCCTAGTCTTGCTCCCAATCATGTGCTCTCTGAATTACTCCTTGTTCTCTCCAGCTACCTTATCCATCCTTAAACATAGCCCCCAGTTTTCCACCCTCTGCCTCCCCCACCATCCCCTATTCCCAGAGTCCCAAGCACCCCACTCAGGAGAGAAAGTCTATGCTTCTTAGTGGATGCTGGAAGGTAAACTCCCACCTGCACCTAATTCTCGGGGTCCCTCCCGGCCTACTCTCCAACTTAACTCCCTGAGTCACTAACAGAGGAAGGGTCTAGACTCTCAGAGCCAGTCCCTGATGCTTTTAAGGGACCCATACTTGTTTTTGGAGTCCTGTACCACTGCTTCATTTCTTGGCCAACAGAACTCTCAAGTGGTCTCTGTCCCTGTAGTTGAGGGAGTGGCGACCTCAGTTTGGCTTCTCCACTCACACTCCATTTGCCATGACCCACCAAAACAATTCACCATCAGAGAGCTGTCTGAGGTCAGAGTGGGTACACTGGGTGTGGCCCTTGTTTTCTACATGGTGAGAAGAACATGGGTGTAAACCAAGACTCTCACCAGGGGCCAAGGTTGTAGCTGAGGTGGATGGCAGAGAAGGTGTGGGAAGGGAAATGGATGGGGAACGCATGAAGGGCACAGGAAGAGTAAGAATCCTCGTCATCGCCAGGCAGGAAATGACACTAGAACAGAAAGTGGAAGCCCCTCTGATCCACAGTTGTATTTGTGAAGCTAAAAAACAAGTCCCAAAGTCATTTTGAAGAGCACCAAGGGTCAAGCTTGAGAATATATCCTTGTGTCATTCAAGTGAGCACCTGTCGTGAGTCTCTGGATTTAAGTTGCAGAGCCATGGTGGAGGGGTTGCAAGGGTCCAGGACAATTGGGAATGAAGATGAGGAGGGTCCAGGACAATTGGGAATGAAGATGATGAGGGTCGGGAAGTGTAGCACCTGGGTGGCATTACATGATGGATCCTTAGAAAGCTCAGGGTGGAGTAGACAGGAAATATAATGAGGGGGTGGCATTGCCTTGGGTAGTATAAATCCATTCACATGTTCATTATTTGCTCATGTGTTCAGTTATTCATGGACTCCCACAGCCATTTTTCTCAGTATCTTCTAGGAGCTAGTTACATAGATAATTAGATAGTCTTGCCCAAATTTATTTCAGTTCAGAAGAGGAAGAGAGAGGCATAAAAAAATCACCCAGGTCTAATAGTTTTATAATTATGGTGATTAAAAGTTCTTGTAGTGGAGGCAGCAAAGACAGTGGTCAATTCGACCCAGAAGTGGAAATGGGGATCGGAAAAAACTTTAAGGAAGATGAAACAATCAAGCTGACTCACTGCATGAGGTGAAGGTTGAGGACACAGAGAGGGGAGAGGAGGGCCCTCCAGACAGAAGAAATCAGGCTGGGGTGGCAGCAGGGACTGGGAGGCTGAGGAGGCTAAATGGCAGGTACAATGGGGACAAGTGATAGACAGAAGGTTGTGTCCAGATTGACGGATGGCATTCAGGAGCATGCCAGGTGATGGCCACAGGAATTCCTGGCAGAGGTGAGGGGACTGGGCAAGGGCCATAGGAATCAGGAGCTGGAGAACTGGGCAGCTGGATGATGAGAGGACGTGGGCTGGGCAGTGGAAAGAATGGGAGCCAGGGACCAGAGTCTGTGGTGCCAGGAGGGAGTCTTCCAGAAGGCGTCTGGGAGAAGGCTTCGACTTGTCGGTTTCAGAAGTTACAATAGGCCTCATTACAAGGAGATCTTGCCCAAGCAGTTAATCCAGCCCATCCTAACTGTCCTAAGGTCCCCCTTCCAGCCCTCAGGGAATTCCATCTTCCATGTAACCCTCCACATAACCAGACGTGTCCCCATTCACCCGTCAGAACCCCATGCTTCTCTAGAACGCTTTCTCCACCCACTTCTGTGACATTCACTATCCCTTCCCCCAGAGCCCACATTCCCACATGGAGGATCCTGCGGAGCTGACTTCTTGGGGTAACACACCCTCCACACCCTCCACACACACTCACACTTAGACTCCACACTCCCCACACACATGCAGCTCACTTTAACCCTCACACCACACGTACTCACACACTCACATGAGCTCACACACAGCCACACACGGATGCTCCTTTGAGCTTGGGTTGAGAACAGCACTGGACTAGAAGTCAGTGAACCGAGGCCGACCCACCGTTTTACAGCTTTGCTCAGTTTTTAGTTATAAACAAGGAGGAAGCCAGACTACCAGTACGGTGCCTTCTACTTCTCAAAGTGTGTGGTTTTACATTTCCCCTCCTCCCTCTTGAGCCGGCATTCCAAAGCTTGCATGGAAAGAGGGTGGGATGTGGGTGGGGAGGGGAGGAAGGGCCACTGGAGGGTTTAGTTCCTGGGGTCTGAGCAGCTCTGCCCTTGCACATGGCACCTGGCCATCCCCGGGTGCCATTAGATGGGTGGATCCCTTATGACTAACCCTTGTATCATAGAAATGCAGGGTCCACACCACTCAGGGAATTCCATCCTCCCAGCTTTCTCCTCTCTGCCTCTTGGGAAGATACTTTCCATATTTTCCTAGGCAGCTCGCCTGGTGTAAGAAGTGAAACCAACATGCAACCTCCATGGTTTTATTAGTGAAACTGCTCTGCCTTCAGCGATTCTCAGATGCCTCCCCTAAGATGTCCAGGACACGTTCCCTCCTTCCATCAGCCTCTCTCCTCCCTCGTGTGTGTTCCTAGCTCTGTGCCTAGAAATGTCCTGAGCTGAGTCTTTGCTGGGATGCCTGCCATGTTCTGACCTCCATGTCTGTTCAGTGTGTAGACAAGAGTCCAGGGTCACTGTCCTACCTAGGATGTAGGAGCAGGCCTTGTAGAAAGGGGTGCAGTGTTCGGATGACAGCCTTGTCCTCCCATTTGCCTCAGAACCCTGTTCTGCATCCCCATGTCAGTCTGCCTCCCCAACCATTGTTCTAGACTGAACCAGAAGTGTTTTTTTCCCAGGTGGACACTCTCATCTGAATGAAATCTTACGGTCATGTCTTTTGTTCTTTTTCTAGAAGATGTTAAGGAGACAGAAACAAGCAAAGCCACCACTGAGCCCGAAACAGCCCAGCCAGAAGGGGTGGTGGTCAACGGGAGGGAGGAAGAGCAGACTGCAGAGGAAATCCTCAGCAGAGGCTTGAGCCAGATGACCACCAACGCCGACACGGACGTCGATACCTCCAAGGACAAAACCGAGTCAGTCACCAGCGGTCCCATGTCCCCAGAGGGCTCGCCCTCCAAGTCTCCCTCCAAGAAGAAAAAGAAATTCCGAACCCCCTCCTTCCTGAAAAAGAGCAAAAAGAAGGAGAAAGTGGAGTCCTGATCGGTGGCACCCACGGACTCCCATTTGCATCTTCTCCCTCCTCCCCTCCCCTTCTCCCAATTCTGTCCCTGGAAGCACAGGGCCAAGAAGGGATAGAATAGGACCCGGGATCACACTCAGAGGGGGAACTTGAGATCACCCGACCAACCCCTCATTTTACAGTTACACCAGAGAAATCAGGTGACTGCCCAAGGTCACACAGATAGTTAGCGGCAGAGTCCGCACTAGAATTCAGGTCTTCGGACCCCCAGTCTAGTGCTCTTTCCACTTCACAACACTGCCTAGTTGTGGGCCACCTTTGTCAGGACGTTGCCCGCCAATCTGAGCCCAGGGCAGGAAGGCAAGAAATGGGCTATGAGCTCTCACAGGCTCAGACTAAATCAAACAGGTCGAGACTTCCCCTGAGTAAGGTCCATTTCTTCCCAGAAGGCCCATCTCTGTGATATGGAGATATGGCCGCATTGAGAAATCTTGTTTCTCTTGTCCATTTTGGGTCCCTACCCTGTTGCTCAAAGTAACGAGACAAGTTGACCTGTCCCCGCCAATAGAAGTTAACCTTTCTTCCCAAGGCTGATGGCTTAGCTTGCACTTCCCCGAGCACTACCCCTGAGCTGTCTTCATGTAACCACTTGAACGATGAATAGAAGAGCTGTAGGTGTTGGCCGATGTGAGGGCAAGCCAAGTCAGCCTGACGATCAGGGATGGTCTGATCAGTATCAGAAGCCAGGAACTTGACCTGTTTGTATTGTGCATCTCAAGTGCTTCAAAACTAAAACCAAACTTAGCATAAGAAAATGTTATCTCATGCTCAGGGCAGAAAAGTGGGGAAATTTAAATCCTCCGTTGGCTTTGCGTTGTATAAGGAGGATCAAGGTGGCACAGGAGATGCTGCCTTTCTAGCTCTGCATGACACACCCAGCAATGCACTGTACCTGCCTCATTCCTGTCCAGCAGCCAGGTGTCCCCTGACCTTCCCTCAAACCCAGAGCACTTGCTCCAGAGCAGAGAACTGGCATCTTAGTCTTGGCTTCCTTGGGGGTCCAGATCCAAGTTATTCTGGGTCCATCAAAGGAGAAACAGAAATGTGTCTTTCAGGATTAATCCTCTTGGGCCAGCGCTCAGAGAAATGCTTGGGTGTCCCCAGCCCTGTCACTCTGTCTGTCCTGGGGCCTGGTCATAGCTACAGCTATTGTTTTAAATCCAACACTATTTTTTCATGATCTTCTATGGGGCATTGATTCATGAGCATTGTTGACTCCTAGACAATCCATTCTCTTTAAAGCACAGTGTCTTCAAAGAAAATTTCTCTTTTTTGTCCTGACTAATGTAAAAATATTTTTGGAAGTTCTTAACCATAGGACCATAGTTTTCCATTTTTGAGCATTTCAAGTCCAAGGACACTGTGCAGGCTTCACATACATGACACCCTGTAAGCCTCACAACAATCCTGTGAGTTGGATAAGATGATTCCCATTTGATCACCAGGAAACTGAACTCCCAAAAGAAAAACCTAAAGTCTAGATTTGAACTTGGGTCAGTCTGAGTCCTGAGCCCTTTCTCTTTAACAATCTCTGATGAATGGACAACTTTAATTCTTGAAGGTGATTTAGTCCATGAACCATTTCTAAGACTAGTGTCCACTGCATAATGTTAGCACTTGAAATGAAGGTAGGAAACTACCTATGTCCACTTTCACTGATGCATGTTGAACTCCTGGTGGCCTGTGAATGTGGTCTTCTGACAAGACAGGCAGGAGCCTTCCGGTTGGGGCAGGAAACACCATCCACAGTTGGCTATTTCTTGAAAAGGAAGGAAACTGACATGGCCAAGGAAAACCCAATGCTGAAAACCTAGCACGGGTTCCCAACTGCTAGGGCCCCTCTGCTTCCTGGTTGGGTCCTGTCTTAGGATGGACAACCCAACGGGGCACTGACATCTCAGAAAAAAAAAATCTGTCATATGGGAAATGCCTTTAAAAGCCAATCCTCTGATGCCTTCTTTAAAAACTAGGTTTCCATTTATTCATTCATCCTTTCATAGGATTTGTTGAGCAGCCGCTCAGAATTACACATGATGCTGACGTTAAAAGGAAGCAGTCATGGTTACCAGAATAAAAGGCGGCAGAGAAGGGAGGAGTGGACGTGACCTCCGGAGCAGCTCTGTGTGAGAGTCATCGTTGCTCAGAGGTGTCTGTTGATGGCTCCGTACTTGGCAAACGCTCTGTATTCCCTTTACCTTAGCAAGCCCTCATTCAGGTGAAAATGTCGGAGCCTTGCTGGAGCATCATCCGTGGGATTGTGCCACGAGTCCACTTCATATTTGCCAATCTGTTCATTCCTTGTGTATTTAGAAAACATGCACTGAGCTTGGGTCCTGGTGCCGGTGTGAAGGGAGGACAGAGCTCCTACCCACAAGAAACTCACAGTAGGAGGCCCACAGACCAACACAGAACAGGCGAGTGCAGAGGGGTGGCATAAGGAAGCAACACTTGGTTTTCTTTGGGGGCCAGAGGCACATTCCTGAAAGTGATGATGGTGGAGTTAGGTTTTCAAAACAAAGAAGAACTTCCCAGAAAGACAAGGGTTTCCTATTCCCAAATGAGGGAAGACTATGCACAGAAGCAAGGAACCACACTATCTTCTATAGCAAATAGTGAGTTTCCAGCCCAGAGTCCCTTTGAGATTTTTAATAAGGCAGGAAGAGCTTATGTCCCCTACTCAGTTCTGTTTCATCTCGGCATGGGTTTGCTGGGAAAGGGTTGCATCAACCTGACCGTTGTTTTCTTCCCTCGCCTGTGAAGGATGCTGTCCATTCTGCTGCAGGCTGGAGGACTAGCACCAAGTGCTGTAGAAACAGCCATGCAGTCCAGACAAACCCGCAGGCCACGAGGGTGAGAGAGTATTTTATTTGGCTCTGCATAAAAATCGACTGAAAGTTTGGTATCTGATTGGAGAAAATGAATATTCATGAGCTCCAAGCTTTTAGACAATGGATTAGTTTCTAATTGAGCCCTTGTGCTCAGATAGGACACAGAAAAGGGATAAGAGAATGTGCACCAGTCTGCTTCACTGTGAGTGGCTGATCTGAGCAGTAGAGAAGCGTCTGAGCCTGTTTCCGTGGGAAGGCAGGCAAGAGCTGGGGCAGAGAGGAAGAGGGGTCAGTGGTCACAGAGGGACAAACTTGGGTCCAATGCCTCTGTGCACTGGTAGCTGGTAGCCAATTGTGGTGTGGGAGAACCATCCATACCATGTGACCTCCTCCCAAACTGCAAAAGGCATTGCCAAGAGACTCTCTGACCCTGCTGCAGCCCAGATCTGGGCTACACCAGAGCTTCCTGGCCCACAGCTGACCCAAGTTACTGCCCTACTTCAGCTACGTGAAAATAACCCCCATTGAAACTCCTACAGGTAACATGAGTTTATTCCTCTGAGTCTAAAGGACTTGGGAGGATTTGGATGAGGGGTTACAGGTTCTTATAGTAGTAAGCCCACCATAAAGCCCTGCCCCACACCACCAAATCACATAGGCCAAGCGTCAGATCCTGTCCTCTGCTGGATAATTCTGTCCCTCACCCATGGTGACGTGCCAGGGTGGTTATTCAGAGGTTGTTTGGCACTGTTGTAACAGAGGGGCCATGGCTCTTGTCAGCATGGGAAGAAATGCTATCGATCCACTTCTTTGGTTGCTGTGGATCTAAAAGAACCATTTACCCTATGGCATGATTAACTTTTGAAAGTCAAAAGATTAGAAATAAGTTGATTTTTCCAGGATGCCGTGCTTGGAGACAGAAGGAGACACAGCCTATCACAGGCCAGGACACCATGCTTTCTCATAAGTGTGAATTTTACATTTTAGGTCAAGAGAAAGAAAGCCCTTCTTGACTATTCAACAGGTGAGGAAATGTTTTCCCCTCACTCATTTTACCCATGTGGGTCTGCAGAGGCCCTCCATTGGTTGGCACTGCTGCAGCTGACTCTGAGCATGGAGGAAACAGGTCTTCTTATATCTTCTCTCATCACTGAGCCCAAATAAACCCTTGATCTAAGACCATAAAATTCAAGGAGTCTGAGAAGATAAGTCTGTGTTCTCCACACCCATAGAAAGGACAGGGCATCCAGGCTCTAAACCTGATAGGACATCATATCTGTCCCACATTGAAAGGGGTGATTTAATACAAGCTCATGAGTTGCCATCTGTGCCCACTTCTCTGTGCACCACAACCTGAAAAAGCTTATACACCATAACATACTTAGTCCCCAAAGTCCTGTCCAACCGGCTGATCTCCGTGGATGAGGTATACTTTTGGTCAGGAATGAGAGACTCGGTAGGGCTCTGCCATCAAGACACGTCTGCAGTGAGAAGCCACACTCACCCAGGGGTCAGCATGGGGATTTCAGGTGAGGGGATCCTTTGGCGGAGAAAGTGGCTTTCATTGTATTTACATAGGCAGTTCCATGGAGAAGGTAGGCATCTTAGGAGCAATTAGGAAGAACCTCCAGTTGGTGGTGGTCTTTAAAAATACGGAAGTAAACGTTTGCATTCTTAGGTGGTTGTAGATTTCCCCCCCCCCCAAAGTTGGGTCATCACTATGAGAGACAGGCCAGAAGGTGGAGGAGGGAGTTGGCGACTGAGCAGGGAGGGATTCTGGGGCAGCTGGAGTGGGCCTCAGCCTGGGAAGGCTCTGGGGGTCCTCCTGGTAGCCTCTGGTCTTCAGCTCCCTTCCCACCCACTCTTTCCCAGGCATCGGGACGAGGCAGGCCACGATGGGGGCACTTCCCTTATCACCAAGTAGGGTGATTGCCAGCGTTTATGGGGTGGTGGGAAAATAGCTCTAGGAAGACCCGAAATGCTTCTCCCCTCTATCAGATCATCTTGTCAAACTTAAAAGCCCAAAGGCAGATCGTCCCTTTTAAAATTAATCAGAAAGATGATGAAAGTCAGACCAAGGACACAGGGGCCTCACTTGGAAAACATCCCAGCCCCTTATATACAATGGGAGGGGAATATATTTTAAGGAGGGGATTCCCTAAAATATAGTCTTGCTTTGTGGTGATGGTCTTGCTTTGTGGGTGATGATTTGATCCCCTGGGACTGTGTCCACCTTTAAATTCCCATGATCTGCTCTTAACTACTGAGTCCCAGTGTTTGAGAAGTGGGAAGAACAAGCAGTCGGGAGCCTGGGGTGGCCCGGCTGGGGCGCAGGGCAGCAGGAACCCAGCCTAGGTAGGGAGTGCAGTGTTGTTTAAAGCTGTGGATGGTTTCAGTGAGTTGTCTGTGTCTGACAATCGTCACTAGGGAGTACTACTTACTGTCTTCCCTTGTACATACATTGTCTGTGTTTAGCTTTTCCTAGTATTGTGAGGTTTCAAATAGGGGTTCCATGTAAATACTCTCTCTGCTACTGAAATGCCAGCCCCCTGGGTCACGCACCTTTCCCACACACGGTTTTGCCTTTCTGTGTGCTAACACGTGTATTGAGCCACCAACGTGCAGATGGACAGTTAGTCTCTGGGGCTTTTATTTTGCAATTTTATATATATATATATATGCACATATATAATATATATATTTATGGGATGGTTTTGTATAGTTTTCTGTTTGAATCTCTGAGCACCAAAGCTGCCCTTGGATTTTCACGAGAACTTTCCAAAGCCACTTCCTGAGCCCTTCTGCTGCTTTGGTGTCTGACTGTGTTGCTGGGGTGGTATCTCTGCCCGTGGATTTCTGTATGTATGTGCTGTTATCTCACCTGCGGATATTACCCTAGTAAATCTAACGTGCTTGGCTTCCCGGTGTGTGTGACCCATCTCTGTTGGCTGCTCGGTTCTCCAGGATACCAGGAAAGCAAACGTCAGAAAGGGGGTCTATTTCTGGAAACAGTGACCAGGTGAGACACCTTTACCCTTGTGACCATTGCTCACATGTGGGAAGCAGAACGCACATATAATTGAGTGCTGACATGGGAAGGGAGGTCACAAATACTAGCATCCTCTGAGAAGGCACAAGTCATGTGGATTTGGAAACAACTTAGTGGAGGAAAATTGACAGGGGCAGATTGAGAGGGGGACTGTGAAAACAAATGGGATGGCCCTGCAGGGGCAAATTGATGAGCTGGAATGGAATGAGGTGTGGTCCTAGAATCAGAGGGCTGGGGAGAGGTAAGAAGTCACCCCAAAGAGGGTAAGACAAATGGAGCTACTCCTAGGATGGGAGATTGGAAGAGAGAGAAGAGGAGCAAGTCTATTTGGCTCCCTTCCAGCTGTTGCATTACTCAGAAAATATGGAGTGCACCCAGGATCTGTGGAGCACCCACAGCAGATGCCAGGTGCCATTGAAGGATAGCTCCTCTTTAATCCCCACAAGCCCCAGAGGTGGTTCTATTATTATGACTCACTTTGCAGATGAGGACGCTGGCTCTGGAACAAGGAGACTTTCTTGGGCTGCAAGTAAGTAAGTAGCAAGCCCCATAATCAAACTGAAGTCTTCTAGGTCACCCAGCCCTTGCTCTTTCCAGGGCTTCCCATGGCCTGAGCATCCTGAGCAATGGTCCTCCATCCCAGGCCCCTGCTCCAGGCAGATCTGTTCCCCACATGCTGCCTGCATCCAAGGTCAGAGCCCCACCTTGCTCTTACATCCAGGTTCCCTGAAAGTCCCGCAGGCTCCTCTGAACCTAAGCAGCAAAGAACCCAGGCCCTCATCTGCCCCAAAGTCTTCAGTTTCCCCTCTGCTGAAGACACCAAGAAAACCACCCACAAGGAGCACGACTTCTCTGTCTTCTCACAGCTGTGTGCACTGATGGGGTCAAAGAGAACAGAAAATGCTGACTACACTTTGTAAAGCTTGCTGCCATTTAACATGGGGATGCAAACCAACCCACAGCTGGAATTATTCCCCCTCCACTTTCACTGTAGTGACTAAAGGGATGCAAATGTGGAAGCAGAGTGCCCTCTGCTTGCCAGAAATGCTGAGAAATATCTCCAGTGCAGGAAGAAGACATTAAACCCACTTCTCAGAGGATGGACAATCACTGCACATGAAAGTGTCCCTGGAGAGGAAATGGAAAGGATCCAGTATGGAGGGCAGTTCTCATTCAGAGCAAGCAGTGAGGATAGCAGGGAGAGAGGGCCGGGGGACACTGGGAAATGTGGCAGGGCCAGTCCTGGCCTCAAGACTAGTGAGCAGGGTGTTGCTAGAACCCTGTTGCACAAGTGTTAAGTAACAAGGGTCAGAGAGAGCTTTAGCACCAGAATCCTGACAGGGTCACAGAATGGTGCCATGGCTCCAGTTAATCCTGATTACCTGAAAAAATATAAAGAGGAAACTTTCAGCCAAGTTACTAGGAGTTCCACCACGGCCACGCAGATAACGCAACATCCAGTCTGGCAAAGTGTCACTCTGAGAGGTCAAAATCTTTCCTCTGCTTTTGCACAGGGGCCACACCTCTGGGACAAGGGCCAACTCCAATCTGGATAGAGATCTCACTTAGTCAAGAAAAATAACGGAGAAAGATAATTTGGTAACAATTTTGTAGTTTAAAAGAAGAGCAATCTGAGAACCAGAGTACACTGCCCTCCATTAATCCATGTTGCTACAAAAAGAAAAAGGTTAGGCACATCCAGTATTCTGCTTATCAGGAAAGATCAGCCAGTCATGAAAAAGAAGCACTTTAAGTCAAGAAAATATTTTTAGATGATGAAAAACACAGTTACATTTTCAAATGAGGCATAAGCAATTAATAGCAGGTTAAATATTATTGGTCATGAATGAGAACATAAATATATGTTTAGGTGCGAGAGAATCCATCAACAAGGGAAAAAAAAAACTAGTCAATCATGTATCCTGTTGATTGGAAAATTAATATGATAAATAACAATGGGAAGGACGTGCAATTGAAATAAGGTAGTGAGCAATTCAATTAAACATGTAACTGAGTCTAATTGTTCATGGTTAATTTAACAAAATGTGAGTGGTTAAAAAGTAGTTACTGGAATATAATAAAGAATAATTTGGAGCAGCAAGGAGGTAAAACTAAATTTCTCACTGAAAAAAGGGACTTACTAGATTATTTCATTTTTTAAATTGTTAGAAGAATGCTGATCCCATTACATATAAAATTTTGTTAGTCAATCCATTTCAACACTTGAATTTAGGGGTGAGACAAACATTCAGTTCATAACAGTTGTGAGCCTAGAGATGATTTGTATGCATTTAAAGATAGTCTTAATTAAAAGACTATATAGATTCCAAATCATTTGAAACAGCAATGAAAAATGAATCAGTTGAAATCCAGCTGAAGTTCAGTAACAAGAGACCAATTTACCACCCTGCCTAAAATAACCCCAGAAAAGAAAAATACATATGAAACCATGATCTTCATGAAAGACAGTGATCCCAGAGAGATGTAAAATACATGGAGTGAACCCGCTGGTTGTCCCAGTGTAGGGCCCTAAGAAACTTTCTAGGTCATGGTGCAGGGAGGGCAAACCCAAGTGGAGCCTGGCAAATGCTCTTAAAGAGATGGAGCTGAGAGTCCTGAGGGATCAAAATAGCTGGAGGTTGCTGGATAGAATACCAGGAAACGAAAGAGTGCATTTTGACAAGACTCAAGATGCACAGAAGGTTCCCTTGCAGTATTAGCAGAATACCAGTCAACCTCTGTATGTGAGGAAATGATATACAGCCAAGGAAATAAATACCTGAAAGGATCAGAAATGGTGGCTGGTACCAACACAGGGTCAGGAAGAGAGCCTCTCGCTCTTTCTCAGACAGGAAACCTCATGTTCATGGGGCATTTGGATAGAGTACACAGAAGGGCACTGACTGGGTCTCAGTAGTGGGGATTAATTAGTCCTAGAAGAAAAGCAGTTTTGCTCCTGTCTAGGAAATTTTAGAAACAAGACCCTCCAAAGATTAAACTGTTTCAAAGAAACTTAACTACATGCCAAAACAAAGGTCAAGATTATTTATAAGAGTACAGAATTATCTAGCACCCAACAAGGAAAATTCATACTGTCTGACATCTAATAAAATTACCAGACAGACAAAAGAGATATGAAAACAAGACTTATAAAGAAGGGGAAAAAAGCAAACCATCGTATAACTCAGATCTTAGAATCATCAGACAAGTTATGATAGCTATTGTTCATGCATCCAAAAGGTTAAGACACAGAAGGTATCAAAACAGACACAAAACTCCTAGAAATGAAAACATACATGTGAGATGAAAAATCTCACTGGGATTTACAACAGATTATATGTTGAAGAAAAGATTAGTGAACTTGAAGACACAGCAATAGAAACTACCAAAAATGAAACAGAAAGAGGATTTTAAATACTGAACAGCAGTGGGCTGTTGGACAATATCAAGCAACTTACTAGAGTTGTGCATGGAGTTGCTGGAATAGAGGAGGGGAAGGTAGAAAAATGATTTAAAGAAATAAGTGGCCAACATTTCCATAAATGTTATAAAAACCAATCCAATGATTTCCCAAGAAGCTCAATGAATCACAAGTGCAAAAACCATGGAGAAAACTACAGTAAGGTGCATCATAAATAAATTTCTCTTAGCCAGTGATAATAAGGAAATATTTAAAGCAACCAAAAAAGGAGGCAGTATATACAGAGGAACAAAGATAACACACAATTTCTTGTTGGAGACAATGATAATGCAAGTGAGAAAACAGTGGTATAACATCTTCAGTGCTTTTAGCAAACTAGAATTTAATGACCAGTGGAATCTCTTTTTTTTTTCAATGAAGATGAAATAAATGGGGGCATGAAAAAAAAATAGACAAAGCACAATTATAGATGAGATCTTAATATGCCTCTCTTCCCCTCACAATCAAGTAGACAAATATATGTGTGTGTAGGCATGTAGGATTTGAATAATGTAGCGATACATATTAAATAGACAAAATATAACTTATAAGCAGAGTTCCCTTTCCTTTCAAGTGGCCATGGGATAACTACCAAAACCCATCAGGATATAAGTTAATAACTTTGCCTTGCCACCCACCCCATATCCAAGGTTGGTCCTCTTCCTCTGCCATACCAAAGATGGCCACCAGAGGGCAAGAGTTCCCTTCTCTGCTACCACTTTGTAGAAAGTCCCAAGAAAGACTTCCAGAATTTTTTAAAAATACAGTTTTTATTTTTCTTTTTAGATATACATGACAGTAGAATGCATTTCAACATATTATACATACATGGAGTATAACTTATTCTAATTAGGATCCCATTCTTGTGGTCCTCCGTGATGTATTTCATATACAAATATAGGAAATTATGTCTGATTCATTTTGCCATCTTAGACTTCTTCCATTTGGGGTCTGGTAGGCCCTAGCAGTGCTCTCATAAACACTGGTCCCTTTTTGTCACCTGCAACGAGATTATGAATGAGCAGTAAGATTCCTTACTCATCCAAACCTTCAGAACCTCTCTGATGACCGTGTCCGAGCAGCTCTAACATTATCTAATATCTAGTACTCTGCCTGGCTTTTAAGTCCCCATCTTTTGGGCAGCTCTGGATGGTCCTAGTTTACCTCAGTAAGTTCTCATGGCCAAGATACCATATAGGAGACTCCAGAGCCACACTGGAGTGAATCCTGTCTCTGAGACTCATGAACTCTATGCCCTCAGGTAAGTCACTTAAGCTACAATCAATCCCTTGTCTGTAAGATGGAGAAATAACCAATACGGGGGGATAAGAATCTGGTAACTATTTTTTAAATTATTTTAAGTTTTTATTATTCCCTGGGAGACACCATAAAGACCTTACTGTTTCGTACATCTACAGTTTGGCTTCTACTGTCTTAAAACCAATGCATATGCATGCACATGTGAAGATCCCCCTATACACACACACACACACACAAAACCCCACACTCATACCCACCAATGCCATTACTTTAAGATAAAATTGATGATCTTAGTTTACATTGTTTTGACTGCTCAAAATATCATGCTGGGGGTGGTGGTGCACACCTGTAATCCCAGCAACTCAGGAAGCTGAGACAGGAGGTTTATAAATTCCAGGCCAATCTCAGCAACTTAGCAAGTCCCTGTTGCAAAATCAAAAATAAAAAGGATTGGGGATATAGCTCAGTAGTGGAGTGCCCCTGGGTTTAAACCTCAGGAAAACACACACACACACACACACACACACACTGACTTCAGGATGAGCAGCAGGAGCCCCTCATCTCCAGAGGTGGGTCTTTGCCTTGTACAACCTCAGCATCCACAAAGCTCATCTCCAACCAACAGAACTGCTCTGAGTATTTGGCCGAGGGCTATAATTTAATTGGAGGCTCATACAGTGTATGTCTAAACATCAAATCCAGCTAAGCATTTCAAATTAAATGTACTCTGCCCCCTTACCCTTAAAAAGTATATATTCATAATGAATGAGCTGGAAGGCCAGGTTCTAATTTGGACTTCTCAGATTCACTGGAGTCCCACAAAGGAAGATGGCAGTATGGGGAGAGCTGATCTCCAGTGTCTAACCCCTAGCCTGAGGCCCATTACTCCTCTCTTGCCAATGCTGAGTTCATCCCTTGCCACAGTGGCCTCGTGTGAACACTGGTGAACACCAGATCTCATGTGCAGGCTCTGTCCATGCCTCTCCTGTGGACAGCCACCCTCTGGCCATCCTGTAAATCCTTGTAAAAAATGGATATTGGGGAGAACCTGTGGAGTAGGACTGTTTGGGTAGGGACTTTGGTGTCCTGGACAGCCAGAGACTGATGTAGTACCAGGTGGGTATGCCCCCTTGGCCTTGCTGACCCCACTTTTGTGGAAGTATGGCCAGAGAAAGAGTCAGAAAGGTCCCTGTGAAGCTCAGGACCCAGGGCAGAGCTCCTCTTGCTGAAGCCTCTTGTCAGCATTGCTGCCCAAATCCCAAGCAGAGCCAGGAAGCAGTGGCTACCCTCTGTGAGGCTCCTAAGAAGGCAGTGCGATACCCTCCTTCCCATTCATTGTGAAAAAACCTGACCATAGGCTTGGGTGGGAAATGCTTTGCCATAACGAGGGAAAATAAACACTTGATGAGATCTGGTCTGGAACACTGGTTGATTTGCCAGGTGAAGGAGGACTGTCCCCTCTGCCTTCATTGGGATTCCCATGCACATCACGGAGTTTCCTTACATCAATGCTGTAAGATTGTGACTCCCTCTGAGGGTTCCAGGTTCCACTGCATTCATATGGAATGAAATGCAGTGGAACCTGGAACCCTCAGAGGGAGTCACAATCTTCATGGTGAGACATTTCGGTTCTCTCCTTCCACATTCTTGGCTCTGAACACATGCTACAAGCAGGAAATGGCCCTGGCCTGTTGGTTAGGTTACTCTTCTGGCTCTCTCCCTCGTAGGTCCGGAAAACTGGCTTTATCGCCCAGGGGTGATCAAGCTCAGGATTACAACCTATTTTCCACGGGATGTATTTTTGGGCAGGTACTTCCTGGTATCATGTAGGAGGGTACATTCCTCTTATCAGTTAGCCATCTCTGAAACACTGAAGCTACTTCTGGGAGAATGCTGTAGGTCTCTGATCCCAGACTCTGTGTGACAATTTTCATCACTGCTACTATATGTAGTGGCAGGTGCTGATCTGGCTTCTTCCTCTGAACTTGCTCTATTGCCTATAACTATCACCCATGGTCCAGCTTCGAGTACAAATAAGAACAAATCTCTTTATTTTCTTCCCACTGATTCTTGGGCTTCCCAGAACTATATTGGCAGGACAGCCAACATTTCGCTCTTGAGGTCTCCCCCAGATATATCTAGAATTGACCTAGTATCCAAGAGTGATTGGGTCCAATGCCTAGCTCACAGCAGCCTGGAGCAGAGGTCTCTACCTCTTGCACACTCCATGGATACCACTGTTCTAAAAAGGGCTGTGCCTCCTTCATCACCCTAGGGTGCTGTCCCAACATCACTTTGCTGTTTGCTTTCCCAGCCTCCAACTGTCCTTGAAGAAGACTGGACCTAGTGACTGTTTCCCATAGAGGAATGCAATCTCCTTAGAGGCACAGGCTAATCTCACTCCTCCTTGTAGCTACAGGACTTGGCAA